TTATGGTGCTTATCCTGTCTCCTTTGACGCCAGGGTAGCTTACAGCTTGCCCTGGGTCCATCCAGTCCCTTCGCTGGGACCCTGCTTTTGGAGTGCTAGGAACTAAGGGAAACTGAGGCTTAAGTCAAGTAAATATGGATGCCCGGGAGGAAATATTATTGTGGGGTCAATTAACTCCCGTGTTACAAAGCATAGCATGAACTCTCTCCCTGTGTCTATACAAAAGGACATTGCTAGACCATGCAAGTGACATAAAGGGAAGAGAAAAGCAATACGGGATTATTAGTGGTTGATGGAATTGGGAGTGCCTCACGGGCACTGTTGTGGGAGTAACTCAAAAAACCTAAGTTCCCTGCGGGAGGAGCAAGGACAACCTGTTATCCAACAACTTTGCACTCAGGAACCGCCCCCGGTGGACTCAAGGGACCGTATGGGGTGCTGGGGGTTGAACCCAGGTCAACTGTGTGTAAGGCGAGGGTTGAACCCAGGTCAACTGTGTGTAAGGCGAGTTCTCGATCACTGTGCCAGCTCTCTGGCCCCTTCAGTACAGCACTGTAGCACTGTCCTCCCGCTGTTCATCTGTCACTCTGCGGTTTCTAGTGCCGGCAGGTGTCGGGGACTGTGGTGGGGGCGAGGAGAGTGGACCTCCAGGCGGCTGGAGTGGACAGTGATGAAGCAAAGGAGGGCCTGGGTCATCCTGGACTGTGAGGAGGCCCCGCTGGCGTGCCGGGACCAGAGCACCAGGACATGGGCCTGTCATTACTTGAGGGGGAGGTCCTACAGAAACGTGACCTTGCAGTGGGGACCAAGGGAAGGCCCAGGCCGCTGCGGTGAGCAGTGAGACCTTCAAAGGTGCCCGGGGAGCCCCAGGAATGACCTGCTGTTCCTGTCTCGAGTAGTTTTACTTTGGGGAGGAGAAGCCTCACGAGCAATGACTCCCTGACACCCTCGGCTATCCTCAGGCTGGCACGTCATCCTTGGTCCCCAACTTGGCGGGGCATCAGAAGAGTGGGCAGTGACTAAGATCAGATTCAGGGACCTAGAGCTCACAAGGCCTGGGCCCCCGACCCCAGAGCTATCTCCCTGGGCCCTCGGTTAACAATGAATTTTTGGTTTTTTGTTTTGGGCCACATCTGGGCCCAGTGTTCAGGGTCATCCCCAGTGGTGCTCAGCGGCCCGTGTGGGGCAGGGGGTCAAACCCGAGCTTCCCGCACCCAGACCTCTGCGCTCTCTCTGGTCTCTAACATTGGATTTTAATTTTTGATTATTACTTGGGAGGTCAAACTCAGTGGTTCTCAGGGCTCAGAGGGCGTATGTGGTTCAGAGGATAGGCAAGCACCCTCGCTTGGATCACTCCAACCCAACATTTGATTTAAAAAATTAGTCTCAGGGGCCAGAGCAATAATACAGCTTGCCTTGCATGTGGTCAACTTGGTTTGACCCCCAGCATCTCCTGTGGCCCCCAAACCTGCAAAAAGTGATTCCTGAGTGCAGACCCAGGAGTAACCCTGAGCACCACTGGGAGTACTCTCAAAACAAACAACAACCAAAAAATTAGTCTCAAAAAATTTTTGAGGGGCTGGAGCAATAGTACAGAGGGGAGGGTGTTTTCTTGTACATGGTCCATGGTCAATCTAAGTTTGATCCCCAGCATCCCACATGGTCCCAGACACCTCCAGGAGTAAGTCCTGAGTGCAGAGCCAGGAATAACCCCTGAGCATTGCCAGGTGTGGCCCCGAAATCAAACAAAACAAAGAAATTAGGTACCACTGGCCCAAAAGCTAAACAAAGCAGATGCAAAATAAATCTGACACGGTAGTGAGGCCTCACACGGCTTCACTTGGCTCTGAACACACACACACACACACACACACACACACACACACACACACACGCACACACACACTTTGCAGGGTTCCTGCCCACATGCCCCAAAGTTCCAGCAATCACTGTCTGATGCACCTCGACTCAGATTTAACAACACTGCATGCTATGAAGGGTGGTGTTTGCCGTATGTACAAAGTTTACTGTCCTTACAAATAGACAAAAATTTAGAAAAGGGAAAAAATTATTTTTCTGAGGGGCCAGAGAGATAGTACAATGGGTAGGGCACTTGTCTTTCAAGTCGCCATCCTGGGTTCAATCCCTAACACCACATATGGTGTAAGCCCTGCGCATTGCTGGGTGTGACCCCGAGGCCAACCAAACAGAAAACCCCACATAAAAGTCTGGGTGTGAGCACGTCAGGGTGGTCCTGGGTTCCTCAGCACCACAAAGCCCACGCAGCTCTCCCTCCTCAGACCCTAGCAGTGAACTTCCTAGTGCGGTCAGCCAAGGAATGCTGGGAAGGGCCCCCGAAAAAAATTATTAAGAACTGTCAATCCCCAGCACACACATACCCAAAAGTATCAGAGTCCGGGATGTGGCTTATCAGTCTTTTGGGTCCTGCCAGGTGTGACACCCAAAAAGAAAAACCACAAGATAGAGGCCACAGAGACGCTACTGGGCAGGGCGGGGGGCAGGGGGATATGGAATAAGCAAAGCATTTGCCTTGCCTGTGCTTGGCCCCAATTCGAATCCTGGCACCATGTATCATGCCCCAAGCACTAGGACTGACCCTGAGCTGAGCCAGGATAAGCCCTGAGCACTGCCAGGTGAGGCCGTCAAACCAAACCAAACCAATCCCCAAGCTTCCATATACCCCTGAAACAGGCCAGGAAGGTATCTCGGGCACTGGGGACCTACCTGTGTGGGTAATGTTGAGTGTGACCCTCAGTACTCTGAGGTTCCTGGGTAGAGCTCAGGGAAGCCCCGGTAGTACTCAGAACTGCCTCATCACCCACCAGGTCCTCGCACGGAACCAGGCCCTACCGTTGCCCAGTCTGGTTTTCTGAGCTCAAGAGGAGTGGCCCGAGGGCCGCAGGCACTGTTTGACAAGCATCACCACCCCCCTCTCGCCCCCGCCCAAAGCAAGCATGACAGACAAGCCAATAGGCCTGCGTACAAGAGACTGGACTCAGTTTCAGCACCATACGGCACCGAGTGCTGCAATGATCTCAAACAGTCCTGGGGGCTGCCAAGCATGCCCCCCTCCCCCCGAAAGACAAAATGACATGCTGAAGAGATGTTTCACCAAAATGGAAATGCTGGGGGCCTGAGCGATAGCACAGCGGGAAGGGCGTTTGCCTTGCACGCGGCCGACCCGGGTTCAAGAGTAACCCCTGTGCATCGCCGGGTGTGACCCAAAAAGCAAAATAAATAAATAAATAAAAATAAAATAAAATAAAATAAAAAGGAAATGCAAAGACCTTTATGAAAATATGCAGAGTTGACTAGGACCCGGAGGACCTCTGCTGTGCCCGGCTCATCACAGCAGCTCCCTTGTGCCCCCGAAATACGGTGCTGCCAGGCGACAGGGGCCATAGGGATGAGAGTGCTCACCTATCACGCAGCAGACCCAGGCTCAATCCCTGGCACCCCACAGAAGAGCCTCCAGAGCCCCGCCAGGTGTGATCCTGGGCAGAGCCCAGAGTAAGCCCTGAGCACCACTGGAGAAGCCCACCCCAAAAGAGCGAGGAGGGGGGCGGGGAAGGAGACGATGGGACGAAAATCACACAGCATCAGATTTCATTTTTGGGACACCGGGCAGTGCTCAAGGGGTCTCTCCTGGTGGGGCTCAGGGGACCAAATACGAAGATGAAAACCCAGGTTACCTGCATGCAGGGTAAGTGCCCTACCCACCATATTATAGCTCTAGTCCCAAACTGTATATAGGTCCAGCAATGCTCCTAGCTTTGCACTCAGATCCACTCCTGGTGGTGGTCAGGGAACCATATGGGATGCTGGGAATCGAACCCAGGTCAGTTGTGTGCAAGACAAGCGCCTGCCCACTGGACCATCACTCCAGCCTCTCAAAACTATTTTAATAGAGCTCAAAGCCAGGGGGCAGAGAGATAGTAAAGCAGGTATGGTGCTTGCCTCACAGGCAACCAACCTGGGTTTGATCCCAATACCCCATACGGTTCTGAGTCTACCAGAAGTGATCCCTGAACAGTGAGGAGTAAGCCCTTAGCATGGATGGGTATAGCCCAAACGACCGAAAGACAAAACCCAGCAAAACCAAGTATATCCTGTTCCGAAGTTGATGGCAAAAGGTAACTTGGAAGGGGTTAGAACAACAGATACTACGGGGAAGGGGGAGATGCATGTGAGGCCGCTGCCACACCACCAGGACTGGCCCCTAAGCAGAGCCAGGAGGCCCTGGGAGAACCGCGAGGTGTGGCCTCGAACCAAAAAACACAAGAGTGGTCTGGAAGAGGGGTTCTCTGCAGTCCAGGAGACTGTGGAGAAGGCGTTAGTCTCGCTGAAACAAGTGTTTTCAAGCATGTGTGGTTGTTACACTTCACCATTGTTGCCAGGCTTTTATGTCGCAGCTTAAAATGGAATATGCGAGGCCGGGTCCCAAGCACTGCCAGGGGCTGATTCCTGAGCACGCAGAGCCTGGAGCCAGCCTTTAGCCCACCCCCTATAAATGTGTATCAACGGTCCTTCTGCTGTTCGATGAGTTCCTCTGTGGCTCCCTGAGCACAGCCAGATGTGGCCCCCAAACACACGAATAAAACGTAACACACAAAGGGAACCAAGTGATTCTTCCGTCTACTTCGCATCCTCAGGATCTGGTGCTGAGGTGCCCGTGTGCCCGGCCTGTGCCCGCTGGCCCTGGGGGCCAGACCAGCTGGCCCTGCAGGGCATGCAACCCTCTCTCCGATTCCTTTCCCCTCGCATGCAGCCCTAGAGGTGGCCTCCTGACCCGAGGGGCACTCAAGGGCGCTGCTCTGCGTGGGACAGGGGCCCCAAGAGGATGCCCACCACAGGGATGTGGAGAAGACCTGACCAGCTGCAGGGGGTCCCTATGTGCTGGACCCCCTCTCCTCCCTCTCACGCTCAAGGGCCCTGGAGAAAACAAGAAAGGGACAGCAAAGCTCCCATGCTTTATTGGGTGGCTGAGGTCACAGGTCTCATTTCTAGTTCCCCGCCCGCGGTCCCCGCAGCCCTCCAGCAGTGTTGCGTCCCTGTCCGCCCAGTCTCATTTCTTGTCCTCCTCCTTCTTGTCCTTCTTGCCATCCTTAGTAGCCTGGGACGCCTGGGAGGCCAGGGAGCCCATGGCGTTCCGGATGGCCTCGTTGTTGGGGTCCACACCAGGCAGGTTCTCCAGGACGCTCTGCAGGAACTCGGGGTCCTGCATCACATCATAGTCCTCCTCCTCCTGGAAAGGGCCCTGTCAGCCTGGCAGGCAGCCCTGCCGCGCAGAGCCCCTCCCCTGCCCGGGCTCTGGCTACCCAGGGGTGGCCCCGCAATCGCCCCCACGCCCCCCGGGAGACAGATCCGCGGGCTCTGAGCACAGCACAAGGGCAACCTGCACAGATGAAGACCCAGGATGCTGCTCCAGCCGCTGGCGTGTGCTTGTGGGTCATCCCCGCTAGGGGCCCAGCTCAGAGACTGAGGGTCACCCCAGTGGTACCGGTGTCGGGGATCAAACCCCGGCCAAGCAGTGTTCCGAGTGTGCCCCCAGCCCCACTTCTCGGACTGAACATGTGGATTCCTGCTGGGGTCTGAGTGACTACACAGCGGGGAAAGCATGTACCTTGCAAACGGCCAACCCACGTTCAATCCCTGGCACTGCACAGGGTCCCCTGAGCCCACCGGGAGTGACGTCTGAACACAGCGCCAGAGGCCCCAGGCGTCAGCCCTGTGCAGGCTGGGTATGGGACAGCCTTTAGCCCCCCCGCTACAAATGTGTATCAACGGTTCTTCTGCTGTTTGATGAGTTCCCCTGTGACTCCCTGGGAGGGTAACGGTCCCAGATGGGAGCGCTTGCCTTGCACGTGGCCGACCAGGGTTCGATTCCCAGCATCCCACAGGGCCCCCCGAGCACAGCCAGGAGTGACCCCTGTGCATAGCTGGGTGCGACCCAAAAAGCAAAAATAAATAAATAAATAAATAAAACCGATGCTCAGGGCCAGAGAGATCATACAGTGGTTAGGGCCTTGCTCATGAATGACCTGTGCACTGGATCCCCAGCAACCAATATGGTCCCTGAGCCCGACCCGAGTGACCCCTAAGCACAGAGCCGGAAATGAGCTCCAAGCACAGCTGGGCGGGGCCGCCCAAAAAATACACAAAAAATAACCCTGCTGTGGCAGGAGCCTGGTACTGGCCCTCACCTTGGCCGGCTCAGATGTGTCCATGGCTGAACTGGCGTCCATGTCAGCTGACTCGGCCTGGCCGAACTCTGCGGGGAAGAGGTACCAGCTTCAGTTCCTGAGCCGCACTGCCCCCCGCAGGCCCAGCGCCGGCCAGGCTCACCTGCACCCTGCAGCGACATCTGCATGGCGTAGGCGATCTGCTCCTCCTCCGTCATGCTGCTCAGGTCGGGGAGGCCGGCGCGGCCAAACTCCTGCTGACCGATGGTCATCTTCAGCAGGGCGTCGTCCGAGTCTGAGGGCCAGAGCGCTGGCTGGAGCAGGTGCCCCCGATATGCCCCACTCATGCCCCCCGGGGGCACCCTGGACCTCAGACTCACCTCTCTCGCCCTCAGCCCCTGGCGTGGGAATCCCGGCCTCCGCGGCCGAGGCCGCTGCCGCCCGCCGGGCCTCCTCCTCCTGCCGCTGCCGCTGCTCCTCCATGGAGACACGCAGGGCCTGGCAACGGGCAGGGTGTGCTCAAGGTCTGGCCACCGTGAGGGCAGGACCCGGGTCTCGGGCACACCCGGAACTACGGGTCCTTTGGAGACTCGGGAGGCTGGGCAGAGGAATGGGGACAGACGGCCAGCCCTGGAAAAGCTGTGAGCGGCGGGGACATAAGCCGGACAGGGGCACCCATGGGCGCCAACTGAGGCGGTTGGCTCACCAGGGCCAGCTCCGGGTCGGCACTGGGGTCCACTCCGAATTCGAAGTCGCTGGCACCGAGACCCAGCATGGCGCCGCCCTCCCCAGCCAGGATCGGGGAGCTGATGAGGGCATCAGCCAGGCTGGGCCCCGGGGGCACCGTCACCAGGTGCGAGCCCGTCCCGTCTTTGCCGTTCAGCGTGTTCACGAAGGCCGTCAGCTTCTCCGTGTTCACCTCCTGGGAAGGACACAGGACACTCTCCTCCGGCCCCGGCCCCACAGTGTGCGCCCCCCGCCGGCCTCACGCCCCCCGCCGGCCCCCACTCACCTCCTCCCCAAAATTGATAATGTCGACGTTGACTTTCTCCTTTTTGAGACGCTTGGCCAGTTTCACCAGCTGGAGGAAGGAACGAGACCCCCACATGAGGGCGAAGACCCCCCTCCCTCAGCGGACCCCACGTCTCCAGAGCCCCCGCCCGGAGCGCTCACATCCTTCTCGGTGTCCTCCACGGGGCTTCCCACGAAGGCGATGATCCGCATCTTGTGGTTCTTGCCCTGGCGGTGCTTCAGGGCCAGCTGCAGAGGGGCGGCAGGGGGCAGGGCAGGCAAAAAGACGCGCCATGACATCACAACACCCGTTAAGAGGTCGTACCACGGACAGAAGTGAGAGCACAGCGGGAAACGTGCTAGTTTTGCACGCAGATTTGATCTCGGAACCCCAGGTTCCCAAGACCTGCCAGGAATGATCCCCGAGTGCAGAGCGAGGAACCCTTAGCACTGCTGGGTAGCACTGTCCTCCCGTTGTTCATTGATTTGCTCTCGTCGGCACCAGTAACAACAAATTGTGAGACTTGTTGTTACTGTGTTTGGCCAAGCGAGTATGTCAGGGGAGCTTGCCAGGCTCTGCCGTGCGGGCGAGATACTCCCAGTAGCTTGCCGGGCTCTCCGAGAGGGGCAGAGGAATCGAACTCGAGTCAGCCAGGTTGGCTACATGCAAGGCAAATGCCTTACCCGCTGTGCTATCGCTCCAGCCCCACTGCTGGGTATGGCAAAATAAGTAAATGGCCATAACGGAGTGAATAGAGGAAGTAGCTTTCATCTGATCCGCAGGCAAAAGAGAACATAAAAAGTATCAGGGATTTTCTTCTAGTTTTGCAAAAGAAATTCCATATTCCAGTATAATGGGGGCTGGGTGGAGTGTGTATGGGGGGGGGTGGCAGCTGTCCAAGCAGCCACTTTTAGTAATACTTGGCCAGACTGTGTGGGTCAGACAGTTCCGTGTTTAGATCTGGCGATGCAGTGCCGCTTAGGGGGTCGCCAGGACTACTGGACATGGTGCCAGGGCTCAAACTTGGGGCCTCACCCACACGAGACAAGCACTCCAGTCCTTTGACCTAGTCTCAGCCCTACTCCAGTAACGTTGTTAAAGACAGTCACAAGCTAATACAGAAGGGATGTCTCATAGCAGTTTCATCATCTTCAGAGGCCATGCTAAGCCCGTGTATCTGCACTATCTGATCTGTCTCAGAACAATCCTAAATGAGATAGCAGTGAAAAAACTCCGTTAAGACCAGTGAGTGTAACTATTTTTTTCACCCATGTAGCTCAAGATTTGGCATGGTGAAAAAAAAAAAAAAAATGAAGACACAGTAGGTACTTAATAAACTTTGTTGACTAGAGAGCTCCCCACCTCCCGCACCAAGAAAAATGCAGCCCAGAAAGAAAGTTGATGCAACTTGTCCAAAACCACGAGGTCAGAACAAGCAGCCACGTTAGGTTTCCAAGGGAATGCAGCAGGATTCCTCGGCCCCCCCGCCCCCCGCCTAGCTGTGGACTGGAAGCGGGTGGTCTCTCAGCCAGGGGTGAGACTCTCCGCCACCTCTCCTGGGCAGGAGTGGGGCGTGGGGCAGCCCAGGGACTCACGTGGGCCACGCGGATGCCCGTGCAGAAGGTGATCTTGCCCTTGGGCTGGACGGCATGCAGCTTGGAAAGGATGCGGCCAGTGTCAGGGGTGAGTGTCGTGAGCACCTCGCAGTCGCTGCAGGGAGGACAAGGCTGTCACTGCGGGCCACAGGCCACTGCAACCAGCTCCAACTGGATTTCACCCAAGGGACTTTTCTTTGGGGGGGAGGTGGGGGAGATTGCTCCAGGCGGCACTCAGGGAACTACGTGGCCCCTCCAGGGCGCAAACCCAGTCTCCAGCACGCAGACACAGCAGAGCTTCAGTCTCCGGGCTGGAGCGCCCCACTCTTCATTTCTGCAAAGATCTCAGCAGGCCCGAGGGAAAGCAGCAGCTGAGGCCTTGGCTTCACAAGTGCTGCCCGGGTTTGTGCCGCCGGGAGTGGCTGAGCGGGCCCCGTCACCCCACCCCACCCGCCCGCCACGAAACAGAGATGCTGGTAGGAACTTCAGCAATGCTCAGAGCGAACTCCTGGGGCTCAGGGCCACATGGGGGCGCAAGGGATTGTACCCAAGATGGCCACATGCAAGAGATGGTACCCTACCCACAGTACCATCTCTCCAGAACCTTTTTTTTAAAATTCTGGGTTGGGGCTGGAGCAACACAGCACAGCGGGTAGGGTGTCTGCCTTGCACGTGGCCGACCCGGGTTCGATTCCCAGCATCCCATATGGTTCCCTGAGCATCGCCAGGAGTAATTCCTGAGTGCAGAGCCAGGAATAACCCCTGTGCATCGCCGGGTGTGACCCAAAAAAAAAGCAAAAAAATTAAATAAATAAAAATTACACAAATTCTGGGTTGCCAGGGTGGTGGTATAGCGGGTAGGGCATTTGCCTTGCACGCAGCCGACCCGGGTTCGATTCCCAGCATCCCATATGGTCCCCTGAGCACCACCAGGGGTAATTCCTGAGTGCAGAACCAGGAGTAACCCCTGAGTATCGCCAGGTGGGACCCAAAAAGCCAAAAAAAAAAAAAAAGATTTCTGGGGTTCAACACAAGACATGTGCCCTAACACACAGGCCTCCATTTGTCTTTTTTTCTATTTTGGGTCCAGGGAATCTCGTGTCAGGGACCAAACCTGGGGCTTCCTGATGCAATGCACGCACTCGGCCCACTGGCCCACCTCCTGGGTCCTCACACACGTGAGGCAAACGCTCACCACCATGAGTAGCGTGGCCGACCCTTCGCTGTCTTGAACTGGGCATCTGTCATGCAGAGTTGCCCTTACGCTCTTAGTAGAAGGGAGGGAAATTCTACCTTATGTAGTACAGCTAGGCATGTTGGACAGATCATTTAAGATTTTACTTGTTGGTTTCTGGGCCGCACCCAGTGATGCTCAGAGGTTACTCCTGGCTCTGTGCTCAGGGGAAGCACACGGGGTGCCAGGGATTGAACCTGGGTTGGCTCTGTGCCAGGGCAAGCAGGCTACCTCCCGCAGCATGTCCCTGGTGCCACGCACTGTTGACTTATGATGCATTACCGAGATCAAATCATTATGTCGCCCCCTTTCTTTCTCCCAATCTCACATTTATACTCAATTATGCTTCAAAGCTAGAAAAAAAACAATCTAGTGGTTAGTAGCTGACAAGCACAGGAAATGAGAAATTTTACAGAATACTTGTCTTCTTTCTCTCAATGCGCTGATTCCTCTCTTTATCTTACTCTTTTGGGGGGCAGCGGGGGGGGGGGGGTCGCACCTGGTTCTGGGCGCAGGAGACCACATGGGTACCAGGGATTGAACACAAGTTGACAGCATGCAAGACAAGTGCCCTTCCCAGCTGAACCAACGCTCCTGCCCCTTACGTTAGCCCTCCGTCCCGGTGAGACGCCGAGCTCCGCTCTCTGTCCCGGCCTCTCCATTCCCAGCGTACGACACACTCCCGCACGCACAGCTGACTATGAGGGACAGGGGCCCCATGCGCACGTGGCTTCCAGCCCCCTTGGCACTGTACTGTGCACTGGAAGCGATTACCACTTAAGGGCTATAGTCGGGGTCAGAGAGACAGGACAGGGTTGTCTTACACACAGCCAACCCGGGTTCTAACCCCAGCACTCCATGTGGACAGGCACCTGAGCCCTGCCAGGAAGGATCCCTGAGCGGAGGCAGGAGTAATTTCTGAGCATAGCCACAAGAATAACAGCAATATTCAAATCTACATTAACGCTGCCCTTGCATTGGGCCAACTGGCGGCAAGGGTGCCCAGGGAGGCTATGGGATCCTGCGAGGGGGTTCCCCTGGCCACTGGCGGCCACACGGGGGAACCACAAGCTCCCCCCACATACTTGGCCAGTGTGATGAGGCCCACGTTGTTCTCGGGGTTGCTGCGGGTCTTGGAGTGACAGACGATGTTGACGGCATCCTGCTGGGCCTGCAGCCGGGTGGGTAGAAAGTCCCCATTCCGCATGTATTCACTGTTGTCGACACTGTCGGTGGTGAGCAGAGGGTGAGAGAAGACACGTTGGACCACCTGAAGCCAACACCCTCCTCGCAGGCAGCGCTGGCACTAACTCAAGGGACCCGCCCTCGGGGACGCGGGCTCACTGGCGGAGCTCAGGACCCCGAGTGGCACTGGGCACCGAGACCCGGACGTCCGTCACGGAGGACGCGTCTTCCTTCTGCTCCCAGCTCCCCGGCCCCATTTTTTAAAATGTTGATTATTTATTTATTTTCCTACAAACCCTCGTGCCAAGGGCTGACTTGAAGAGCTTGGCCAAGTGAGAATCAGCTCTCAAGGGCAAGGGCTGGTTCTCCCGACTTGGCTGACTCTCACTGCAGGGAACTGGCACCCCAGCTCCAAGAACCGCAGAGCATCCAAACAGCAAACCCAGGAGGAGCTCGGGGCCTCATGCAGCTCAAAGACTGAGAAGGACCAGGGGAGGGCGTTCGCCTTGCACGCTGCCAACCCAGGTTCTAACCCCAGCACCACCGGGAGTGATCCCTGGGTGCGGGGCCAGGAGTAAGCCCTGAGCACTGCTGGGTATGACCCAAAACCCAAACCCAAACCAACAAAAGCAGAGTCTGCTGTGTAAAATGTTTAATGAGCTCCTCCAGGTGCACTGAGTCCAGCAGGTCAGGGCAGGCTTTGCACACGGGAGGCAGGTTCAAGCCCCAGTACCACACGGAGCCCCCGCCCCTCAGGAGTGGCCCCCAAGCACAGAGAAGGAGTTCCTAAACACCCACTGGGTGTAGGCCCCTCAAAAAAAAAAAAAAAAGACTACAAATTAAATTTCAAAAAGCTCCTATAGGGGCCGAAGCCACTGTAAAGCGACTTGCACGCAGCCCACCTGGGTACAACCCCTGGCATCCCATCTGGTCCCCTGAGCACTGTCAAGAGGATTCCTAGGCGCAGAGCCAGGAGTAACAACCCCTGAGCATCACTGGGTGTGGCCAGCGAGTAAATAAACAAAAGACTCCAGCAAAGAGCTTACACAAAGGGTGCGTGAGGACCTACAGAAAGCCGACAGGCCAAGGCCCAACTCTTCTCCTAGGTCACCAGCATGTGTTCCCCTGAAAGATCAAGCAAGTCAATGTCCTTTTGGGGGTACAGAGGCCCACTCCTGGCAGTGACCAGGAAACTCTACGCTGCGTTGGGGATGGAATAGGAACAGGCCTCCTAAAGGAAAGCACCTGGACTCTTAATACTATCTGGCCTCTAGCTCTTTCTTCTGGTTCGCTTGTTTGGGGGCCATACTGGCGCTCAGGGATCATTCCTGGCTCTGTGCTCAGGGGACCACACGTGGTGATGGGAATCAAACCAGGCTCGGCTGCGACAAGGCGAGCATCTAAACCTCTGGACTGTTGCGCCAGCCCCTGGATCAAGATTCTTACATGCCATTACTTCAGGGACCAGAGCAATAGCACAGCAGGCAGGATGTTTCCCTTGCAAGAAGCAGACCCAGCACGATATATGGTCTCCTGAGCCTCACAAAAAAAAAAAAAATTCATTTTTCATATAGCTCTGCCTTCAACCCGCCCCCAAACTCTGTCTTTAGTCCTCTACTTAGAGGCAGAAGATAGAGTTCATCTTGAATGGCCACAGTGCTTTTCTTGGCCCCATTCACCTTTCAAAAGAAATGACCTTGGGGCCAGAGTGGCAGTACAGTGGGTAGGTCATGCACTTGGCTGGGTTTGATCCCTGGCATCCCGTATGCTCCACCAATGACCATCAAGAGTAATTCCTGAGTGCAGAGCCAGGAGTAACCCCTGAGCGTTCCCAGGCAGGACCCAAAAAGCCAAAAAAAAAAAAAAAAAAAGGAACTAGCTCTTCCAGACCCAAGATGCCTTGGTCATTTACACCTGAGCTGCTTCATGTCACCGTAGTGTAACGGGCTGGCACCAAGTTCCATCTAAGTCCTTTCAAGACGCCTCCGATTCTTTAAGGACCCAAGTTCCGGCAACTACGGCCTCTAGGTTCTCCAGAGCAGCCTTACACACACTTTACCCAGGGGTGCCATAGGATGAGCAAGTCTGGGTGAGGACAGAGAGAAAGCAATGTCTGTTCATCCGGAACTGACTCCTTACTACGGTCCCCCGCACACTGCCAGGAGCACAGCGCCGAGACAGCCCTGCCTCCCCCCGCCCCCAACCACGATAAACAGATTGGACAGTTTTTTTGCTCCTTGGGTCACACCCGGCTTACTCAGGGGTTACTCCTGCCTCTGTGCTCAGGGATCAACCCTAACAGTGCTTGGAGAACCCTCTGGCGGTGCTGGGGATGGAAGCCGGGAGGGCCGCATACAAGGTAAGCACCCTGTCTCAGCACCATATAATGAATCCACCTCCTGACGTTTTACTATCTTAAAAAAAAAAAAAATGAAAGGGGACTAAGATTTGCTTTGTCATATCCCTTGCACGGTAAAGCCTGGCGGAGGAAGGAGAGAGCGAGATTAACGTTCTCAAGAATTAACACACACTCCTGGTTAAGTCAAGAGAACACAGGGGACCAGAACCCTATTGAGAGCAAGCAGGGTGCTTGCACACGGCACACAGCCTACGGGCTGGAACCCTGGCATCCCACTCGGAGCCATCTCTGAACACAGCCGGGAGTCAGCCCCGAGCACAGTTCGGTGGGCCACCCGATCCCCCAAAAATGCAAGACTCCCCGCTAAATCTGAGTCTCAGAGAGTGACTTTATGGGGCTGGAGCCATAGCACAGCGGGTAGGGCGTTTGCCTTGCACGCGGCCGACCCGGGTTTGATTCCCAGCATCCCATAGGGTCCCCTGAGCACCGCCAGGAGTAATTCCTGAGTGCACGAGTCAGGAGTAACCCCTGTGCATCGCCGGGTGGGACCCAAAAAGAAAAGAAAAGAAATAAAACTCATTCTGAGGGCTGGAGCGATAGCACAGCGGGTAGGGCGTTTGCCTTGCAAGCGGCTGACCCGGGTTCGATCCCCAGCATTCCATAGGGTCCCCTGAGCACCGCCAGGAGTGAGTCCTGAGTGCATGAGCCAGGAGTGACCCCTGTGCATTGCTGGGGGTGACCCAAAATGCAAAAAATAAATAAATAAAATAAAATTTAATGACACAGGACTGGAACTATAGTACAGGGGTAGGGCGTTTGCCTTGCAAGCAGCTGACACGGGTTCGATCCCCAGCATCCCATAGGGTCCGCTGAGCACCACCAGGAGTGAGTCCTGAGTGCATGAGCCAGGAGTAACCCCTGTGCATCGCCAGGTGTGACCCAAAATGCAAAAAAATAAAATAAAATAAAATTTAATGATAGAGGACTGGAACTATAGTACAGGGGTAGGGTGTTTGCCTTGCAAGCGGCCGACCCGGGTTCGAACCCCAGCATCCCATATGGTCCCCTGAGCACCGCCAGGAGTGAGTCCTGAGTGCATGAGCCAGGAGTGACCCCTGTGCATTGCTGGGGGTGACCCAAAATGCAAAAAAAAAAAAAAAAAGAAAAGTGACTTTATGCTGCACTTGGGAGATATTCCATCGTCTCTTTGATGGTTTGGGGCTCGGGGGCCACCCCTGGTGGTGCTCAGGGATCACTCGCCCCTGGAGGTACTCGGGGGGCCACGGGGGGCCCGGGGATCAGGCGGTGGCCGGCGCGGGAAAGGCCAGTGCGGCAGCGCCGGACGATGCCCGCGGCCCGGCTCACGACTCCGGGCCGGCGCGCGCGGGCCAGGGCGCCCCTGACCCGCGGGGCCCGGCGTCCCGGGGTAAACTGAGGCAGCCGCTCGGCGCGCGCGGCCCGGGCAACCCCGGCGCGAGACGGGCCACCGGGCCTGGCCTCGGCCCGGGATGACTCAGGGAGTCGCCGCGGCCGCCGCCCGCCGCGCTCGCCCGCCGCCGCCCGCCGCCCCCCAGGCCCGGCGCCCGCCAGGCCACACGCGCCCGGCCCAGGCCGCACCCGCGGGCCCCGGAGTGCTCCTCACCAGACCATGGTGCTCTCCAACACCATCTTGCCGCCTGCCTCCCTCCCTCGGCTCTCGCGCACCGCCAGCCGCCAGCAGCCTCCCAGCGGCCTCCGCGGGCCCCGCCAATCACGGCTCGGCAGCGCGTCGGCTTCCGGCTCCGGCCGCCGCTCTGCATCCTGGGAGTTGTAGGCCCGGCCGCGTCCGCCATTGGCCTCCGCGCTGCCTCCTGGGAGTCGTGGTAGGCCAAGCTCCCCTCGCCGCCGCCCTCCGCGTTGCATCCTGGGAGTTGTAGGCCGAGCTCCCTTCGCCACCGCCCTCCGCGTTGCATCCTGGGAGTTGTAGGCCCGGCCGCGTCCGCCATTGGCCTCCGCGCTGCCTCCTGGGAGTCGTGGTAGGCCAAGCTCCCTTCGCCGCCGCCCTCCGCGTTGCATCCTGGGAGTTGTAGGCCCGGCCGCGTCCGCCATTGGCCTCCGCGCTGCCTCCTGGGAGTCGTAGTAGGCCAAGCTCCCCTCGCCGCCGCCCTCCGCGTTGCATCCTGGGAGTTGTAGGCCAAGCTCCCTTCGCCACCGCCCTCCGCGTTGCATCCTGGGAGTTGTAGGCCGAGCTCCCTTCGCCGCCGCCCTCCGCGTTGCATCCTGGGAGTTGTAATAGGCCAAGCTCCCTTCGCCACCACCCTCCGCGTTGCATCCTGGGAGTCGTGGTAAGCCAAGTTCCCTTCGCCGCCGCCCTCCGCGTTGCATCCTGGGAGTCGTGGTAGGCCAAGCTCCCCTCGCCACCGCCCTCCGCGTTGCATCCTGGGAGTTGTAGGCCCGGCCGCGTCCGCCATTGGCCTCCGCGCTGCCTCCTGGGAGTCGTAGTAGGCCAAGCTCCCCTCGCCGCCGCCCTCCGCGTTGCATCCTGGGAGTCGTAGGCCGAGCTCCCTTCGCCCGCCGCCCTCCGCGTTGCATCCTGGGAGTTGTAGGCCCGGCCGCGTCCGCCATTGGCCTCCGCGCTGCCTCCTGGGAGTCGTAGTAGGCCAAGCTCCCCTCGCCGCCGCCCTCCGCGTTGCATCCTGGGAGTTGTAGGCCAAGCTCCCTTCGCCGCCGCCCTCCGCGTTGCATCCTGGGAGTTGTAGGCCCGGCCGCGTCCGCCATTGGCCTCCGCGCTGCCTCCTGGGAGTCGTAGGCCAAGCTCCCTTCGCCACCGCCCTCCGCGTTGCATCCTGGGAGTTGTAGGCCGAGCTCCCTTCGCCACCGCCCTCCGCGTTGCATCCTGGGAGTCGTGGTAGGCCAAGCTCCCCTCGCCACTGCCCTCCGCGTTGCATCCTGGGAGTTGTAATAGGCCAAGCTCCCTTCGCCGCCGCCCTCCGCGTTGCATCCTGGGAGTCGTGGTAGGCCAAGCTCCCTTCGCCCGCCGCCCTCCGCGTTGCATCCTGGGAGTTGTAGTAGGCCAAGCTCCCTTCACCACCGCCCTCCGCGATGCATCCTGGGAGTTGTAGGCCCGGTCAGGTCCGCCTCTGGCCTCCGCGTTGCATTCTGGGAATTGTTGTAGGCCTAGCTCCTTTCGCCGCCGCCCTCCGCGTTGCATCCTGGGAGTTGTAGGCGTGACCCATGGGCAAGGGGCTCTCAAAAGTCGGATCACAAATCACAAATCACAAATCGGCCTGTTATTCGCCGATTGCCTCAAGCAGGCCCTAGTAACGTCTCCTTCGTCCTAGCCCTGAGATTATATTCAAGGCTCTTTAGGAGAATGAGACCCATCATTGTTACTGGCATTTGGCATATTGGGGACGCCACGGGGAGTTTGCCAGACTCTGCCCTGTGGGCAGGCTACATTCGGTAGCCTGCCAGTTTGTCCAAAGTAGGAGTGAGATAATAAGATGTCGCAGGGCCGCAAATCCGGGAGCTGGATTTTATAGTCTCTGAGTCTTGGCCGTTGATGGGATTACGGGGCGCCAGGGTGCCAGTTGGTGGGTGTGACCCCCGCCTACTGGAATTTGGAGGATCTGGGTGGAGGATGCTCAGCCCAAATCCGAGTAGGCTTGGAGATCTCGGCCCCGGGACCCGCGTGACTTTGTCCCTCTGCCAGTACCTTCATGTGTGCGGAGAGTGGTCTCAGCATGGTGGTGGCTGGTCCTGGAGGTCTTCGGCTGCTGGAGCCCTGGTCGGGGCGGGGAGGAAAGCTCAACCTGCTCCCCCCCAAGGGGTCCCAGCGGCGAACCTACTGTTCAGCTGAAGGAAATGACAAGAGTGGCAGAAAGCCCTTCCCGTTTCACTCTCTTGTCCCTGCGATGACTGAAGGTCACACCTTTTCTGTGATGCTGGAGAGTCCCAAGAGAATTGTTGCTGGAACGACAGTGGGCACCCATGGGGCATGATGAGCTGGAGATGGAGCCGAGGGCTTCCCACAAACAAGGCATGTGCTCTACCATCTGCCATAGCCCCAAAGCTGTTTTTCTTCTTGGCCACTGATGCAAAGAGGACAGAGAAGACAGAAGGGTTCACATTTCTCCTCATATCCAAGGAAGCCCAAGATGCTTCCTTGAGCACATGCTCCCAGCACTCAGGTCAAGCACAGCTATAGTGTGGGGACAACTTCTAAGGGGCATGAAGCTGAGACTGATGCAGTTCAATAGCCTCTTCTGCAAACTGGTTTGACCACGTTACTTGAAGGAGCACGTCCCAGTCATCATCTGGCACATTTTACAAACATCTACACTCAGACCCAACTTCAAACTGAATCAAAATTTCTGGTTGTGGAACCCATATGTATTAGGTTGAGGGGGATGGGCCCCACCTAGCACTGCTCCCGGTTCTGTGCTCAAGAGTCACTCATAGCAGTGCGTCAGGGACCACTTGGTCCTGAGGATTAAACCAGGACCTTCAGAGCAAGCATGTGCTCAGCCTGTCGGCCATCTCTCTGGCCCCACGTAGCACTGTGGCACTGTCCTCCCGTTGTTTGTCGATTTGCTTGAGCGGACCCAGTAACGTCTCCATCATGAGACTTGTTGTTACTGTGTTTGGCATATTGAATACGTCACGGGGAGCTTGCCAGGCTTTGCCGTGCGGGCGAGATACTCTTGGTAGCTTGCCGGGCTCTCCGAGAGGGGCGCAGGAATCGAACCTGGCTCGGCCGGGCAGCTGCGTGCAAGGCAAACGCCCTACCACTATCCTATCGCTCCAGCCCTGGCCCCAACTTAATGGAGTATTATTATTATTTCTGGCTTTTTGGGTCACACCCAGCGATACTCGGGGGTTACTCCTATCTGCACTCAGGAATTACTCCTGGCGGTGCTCAAGGGACATATGGGACGCCAGAGATCGAACCTGGGTCAGCCGCGTGCAAAGCAAATGGCCTACCCGCTGTACTATCCATGGAGTATATTTTTTCCCTTAGGGCCACACTTGGCGGTGGTCAGAGCTTACATCTGACTCTGCACTCAGGGATCAGTCCTAGCAGGGCTCAAGAGGGCCATATGGGATGGCAAACACTTTATCTGATGGCAAACACTATCTGTTTACAGCCTTTCCCAATTTGTAATGTGTATTTTCAATAAAAATGTCTTATTGAAGAGGTACTCAATAGTCCTATTGATAACGAAGTGTTACAAACAGGAAAATATACTGTTTGGGGCTAGATAGTACAGCGGGTAGGGCGTTTGCCTTGCACACAGCTGGCCTGGGTTCATTCCGGGGCATCCCATATGGTGCCTGAGCACAGCCAGGAGTTATTCCTGGATGAGTACAGAGCCAGGAGTAACCCCTGAGCGACGCCAGGTGTGGCCCCCAAACAGAGAACACACACAAAAATACCTTTTTTAGTATCAGTAAATATTTACAATAAAGCGATGACTTGAAAAAAAGTTATTTGGGTTTTGAATCACACTTAGCGGTGCTAGGGAATCATGTGGTACTGTGGATTGTACCTTTTTCCTAACGTATTGGATGGACTGAGTTTTCTAGTTTTCTTTTCTGGTCTAGCTTTCTTTTCTAGAACCTTCATCTTCATCTTCTTCATCACCGTCAAATCATACCGATGACATCATCACACACCTAAGTTATTATTAGTCTAAACAGTCTGTTTTTTGGGTGCTCAAAGCGTATTCCTGGTAGGCCCAGGGAACCATATTGGTGCCGGGGATCACACCTGAGTCAGACAGATGCGAGAGAGAAGTGCCCTGCCTGCTATGCTCTTGGCATCCCGATCTGATTTTTGTCTTCGCTTTACAGGAGTTTTGCCAAAATGCTTGCCTTGTTTTGTTATGACCACATGCAAAATTGTCCTGGTTACTCATTTCCCAGTTGAAATCATAAATTCTCGACTGGGGGCATAGTTAACAGGTCAAGTGCATACTTTGCATGGTGGAGACCCACATTCGATTTCCTGACTCAGCAGCAGCACTCAAGCACCACCAGCTGTGAACCCCCCAAATGAATAAAAATCATTCCTTAAAATTCCAGTCGGGCCAGAGCCATAGTATAGCAGGGAGGGCATTTGTCTTATACACGGCAGACCTAAGTTTTGATGTCGGTGGGCCCCACGGGTGACTTATGTGAAGTGGGGAGGAAAAAGACAGCCACTTTCTCCTCACCCGCCTCTGCCACCCGGAACCCTGGGTAGGCTAGGACCGGTAAAGTCTGCAGTGAGCACCTGCTCGGCACGGGCCTGAGCCCCGCCAGCCCCACGAGGTGGCCGTCAAGCCACACCTGAAGTCCGCTTGATCTTCTCGGCACGGGAGTTAATCCCCAACACCCGATTGCTCGGGGAGCCACGGACTCAAGCTGGGGCGAGAATTTGCTCTTTGCAGGAAAGGAGAGACCAGTCCCAAGCCTTACCCGAGGTTTCTGGGGTTCTTGTCTCGCTCGCAGAAAAGAATTTCAGGAGTAGACGAGCAGTGAAGTAACAGGTTTTATTTGGAGGCTTTTGGAGAGGGAGAGAAAGGGATAAGCAGAGAGAGAGAGAGAGAGAGAGAGAGAGAGAGAGAGAGAGAGAGAGAGAGAGTAACACGTCCAGAGGGAACGCGGGCTTCTCCGAGGGTGGAGAGAGCGCCAAGTGGGCTCTCAAGCTGGTTCTTATAGATCCTTCTGACTCAGAATGTTCTGGAATCTCCTTGGGGCTGGGTCACTGGAGTCAACCGGATTGAAAGGGGGTTCGAGACTCATCTGACTTGGAATGTCCTGGGGTCTCCTTGGGGCTGGGTCGCTGGAGTCAACCGGATAGAAAGCGGGTTCGAGAGTCATCTGACTTGGAATGTCCTGGAATCTCCTTGGGGCTGGGTCGCTGGAGTCAACCGGATAGAAAGCGGGTTTGAGAAAGGAGGAATTTCATGGGGAGGAGGCCCATATTTTCAGGGTCTGGGGATGGTCTTATCAAGTCTTTATTCTCTGTGTCCACAGAGTGGGTCGGTCCTAGAATTCTTCTATGAGACTTTGTTTCATTGCAGAGAGCCTTTCCCGATCTACCTGCCTACATCAGTTTGATCCCCGGCACCTCATATGATCCCTCAAGCGCCGCCAGAAGTAATTCCTGAGTACTGTCAGGAGTAACCTCTGAAGATCTCCAGGTGTGGCCCATCCCCCCCCCAAAAAATCCCAGAGTCAGGGTTTACAGTGTGGCCTCATTTACATACTAGTTCCCGGAGTCTCCAAGTCTCCCCATATTGTTTCCACCAGGAACTGTTTTGAAGGCCTTTGTTCCCCAGAAAATCCCAACACTTTTAGCCCCCAATAACCTTTACTCTCATTCTTCCTTTATATTCTTCATCATTTTTTGTTTTGTATTTGGGTCATACCTGGCAATGCTCAGAACTAATTCCTGGCAGTCTCAAGGTGTTGTGTGAACCTTCGTTCAGTCCGAGGCACTGAGATAAGAAACGCGAGGGAAATTTTTTTCATGGAGGGTCCAGGTTCTCTCAGACGCGGTGACAAAAGGCAGAGTCCTAAGGTCTCCCTTTATTGATCCCGGTACCTCTACGGGGCGCAATACGGTGAGTCATCAAGTTACAGAAAGAACATTGAGGCAGCAAAACACGTCTGCAGGCCAGTAGATTTTGGCTTTGGGAAAAAGGCACAAAACCTAAACTGAAACCTTTCTTGGGCTTTGCATATGCAAAGTATTTGGATTTGCATCTGAGAAAGACTACGCTGGGCTAGAGCCCGGAATTTACATGTCAAAGACCAGCCAGGCTTCTGTGAGAAAAGGGAAACTGCCCCATCAATATACTGAACTTTATGAAATTATTTACTGAAGGCAGCCTAAAGGGAAGAGATGTTCAGCTTCATCCAAACCAGTCAGGACACACGAGAAATCTCGCCCGTTATCAAGGGTCCCTATGTTCCTGCCCGTTGTATGGTACAGTCTACATTGGCTCATCCTGATAGCTCAGTCCAGTCCCAACACCAGGGACCACAGAGGATGGAACCTGGGTCTGGTCAGCGACGTGCAAGGCAAGCCCCTCCCTGCTGTCTGTACTACCTCTTTTTTTTTTTTTCCCCTTTATTTTATTTTATTTTTTTTAAAGTTGTAGATTTACAATTTTTTGTGCTTTGGTTTCAATTATACAATGATCAGATACCCATCCCTCCACCAGTGCCCATTTTCCACCACCATGGATAATATCCCTCCCACCCCCATCCCCCCATCCCCCCGTCTCTGTGGCAGGGCAATCCCCTGTGTTCTCTCTCTCCTTTTGGGTGTTGTGGTCTGCAAAAGAGGCATTGAGTGGCAAACATGTTCAGTCCATAGTCTACTTTCGACATGCATCTCCCCTCCTGGGAGGATCCTCCAAACATCCTTTATTTGGTGCTCCCTTCTCTATCTGAATAGCCCTTTCCTCTAGGATACCCGGCTGGCCTCTAAGTTATGGAGTAATCCTCCTGGTGCTGATCTCAGCTATTCTTGGGTATTAATCTCATACTTTGTTACTTTATATCCCCCAGATGAATGCAATCTTTCTATGTCTATCCCTCTCTTTCTGACTCATTTCGCTTAGCATGATACTTTCCATATTGTACCACTTGTATGTAAATTTCATGACTTCATCTTTTCTAAGAGCTACATAGTACTCCATTGTGTAGAGAAAGGGACACTCCTTCACTGTTGGTGGGAATGTCCACTGGTTCAGCCCTTCTGGAAAACAGTATGGACGATTCTCAAAAAATTAGAAATTGAGCTCCCATTTGACCCAGCAATACCACTCCTGGGAATATATCCCAGAGAGGCAAAAATGTATAGTCGAAGTGACATCTGCACTTGTTTGTTCATTGCAGCACTCTTTACAATAGCCAGAAACTGGAAGAAACCTGAATGCCCAAGAACAGATGACTGGTTAAAGAAACTTTGGTACATCTACACAATGGAGTACTATGTAGCTCTTAGAAAAGATGAAGTCATGAAATGTACTACCTCTTGAGCCTGCCTCACTCTGAAGAGAACTGAAATCCTTGGCTATCCCACATTTAACATGCTGGCACCTCGATCCCTGGCACCTCGTATGATCCCTCAAGCGCCTCCAGAAGTAATTCCTGAGTACTGTCAGGAGTAACCTCTGAGGATCTCCAGGTGTGCCCCACCCCCCCGCCAAAAAAAAAAATCCACCCACATGTATGTGCTCCTCTTGGACACTGTAGGATCCTGAAATAGAATTAAAACTGTCTGGTGCACAGCTCCTGATTGCTGCGTATTTATAGAATGATCTTGTGAGAAAGGATCTTGGAAAGGAGCAATATTTAATGCGTTTCTCTCAAAGCACCTCTAGCCCACGGCGTAGGATGAGCCCTCCCTTTAGTTTCTCATCACCATGAAAGAACCCAAAATAAAGCTAGGGGGTAGGTCAGGGGCAGAGTTCTGGCCTTTCATGTGTGAAGACCCTGGGTTTAACCCCCAGCACAAGGGGCCAGGGAACAGCAGGTAAGGGGTTTGCTCTGCATGCAACCGACTGACCCAGGTTTGATCTCTGCAATCCTCCCATGTTTCCCCAAGGCCACCAGGAGCGATTCCTGAGTGCAGTGCCAGGAGCAAGCCCTGAGCATGGTCAGGTGGAGCCAAAAATCAAAAATGAGAAACAAAAAACGATCCCCCCCCAGCCCCGAAACAACCCAAAACCCCAAACCCCACAGAGCAGGAATACACACTGAAACCTGAGGGTCCGCTGTGAGTTTGAGGAAGGAGGAGGGACTCTTGACTCTTGGAAGGGTCTCAAATCTGCTTCTTCACTGTTCCTCTCCTTATATCTGAGTCCGATTTTGAGTTTCGGATCCCCAAATCTCAGTTAATGTAGGCTGCGAGCCAGCCAAAAAATCTGCATCATTTCCCATGAGATTCATTCACTGCGTTCCCTCGGCTTAAGTTGTGAGGATGGTAGGGATAGTTAGCCGGCAGGAACAGGCCGGAGAGGCTAAGCTTAGTGGGCTGAGCACAGGCACTTGTGGGGGAAACCTGGTTTCGATTCCCTACACTGCACCGCCCCTGGAACACCACCAGAGGGTTCTCTGACCAGGGCCAGGAATGCTGCTGTGCACAGCTGGGCGTGACCTGAAAACCAAACCCAAACCCAGACAGGCAGGAATGAGGTAATTTCTGTTTGCTAAGAGTGGGAATTGGGATGAAGGAAACTGGGCAAGAAAGCAGTAGCATCTGCTTAAGACAACAAAAGAGCATGGTGGGGTGGGAGCATAATGGGTGTGTGCGCACAGAAACACACACACAGAAACACACACACACACACACAGACACAACAAAAAAGCATGGTGGGGTGGGAGCATAATGGGTGTGTACGCATAGAAACACACACACGCGCGCGCGCGCACACACAACAGAAACAAGAGGTCTAAATAACTGAAGAAAGTTTAATACATTAAAACCAGATAATTATCACTTTTATATTGCATTTGTCATTGTGGAACAATACGAAGTAGAGGCAAATAGTGACACTTCATAAAAATGTTGTTTCCCCACTCCCTTCCCTAAGGCCCGGCCCTCCCCAAAATATTCCCTCCCGATCCCTACAGAACTCTGTCCTGAATAAACACTTAAATATTTCATAAATAGTAAATTATGAAAAAAATAGCAAGAACTGCTTCTTTCCATCTTGTAAAAAAGAACATGGCAGCAAAGACAGGGAGCCAGCCAGAAACTGGCCGAGGGCGTCTAATATAGACAGTCACATCGGGTCTGGACTGACCTACTCCCAAGGTAGGGTGGGACGCAGGGGTACGGGACTGAACAACCCCGAGACGCCAGGACTCCTCCTCTCGCGGGAGGACCAGATGGACAAGCACAAGTCTCCGTGACAGGGACCATGGGACGACGGTCCCCACGTCCATATTCTCTGCGTGAAGGGACCGAGCCGGACACGTGGCTCAAAGAAACCTCATGAATTTAAGAGCAGATTCTTCAGCCTGGGCGCTGTGGGACACGGGCCTCTCCCACCCCCACAGAACACGCAGGAGAACAGGCGGGGAAAGCCAGGAAGAAATGTCCTACGGAGAAGGCCCGAAGGGTCATCTGATGGAAGTTCGCTTTGCATTCAGAAAAAACACCAGAGGGAATTTCACACCCGAAACATACCAGGCGTGATGGCAATGAGTCGCGTCCCAGCCCCGGGACTACCCCACGGCGAGAACAAGGGAGAAGACCGACCTCGTCGGGCCCATCCCCTCCATTCCTTCAATCTTAAGAAATTCATCAGGAGCGGAGAAGCTGAAGAATACCAGGGCTCTGCGGAGGGAGCCCACCACGAGCAGGCCGCGCTCGCACTTCCAGATGCTGACCCGAAGCCGTCTGGCTGCAAACAGGCGCTACTGCTCCTTTCCTTTTTCCAAAAGGGGAAAACAAGCAAGCAAAACCCACAAGGTTGGGAGGAGGTTACACACCGCCCCAAACCGTTACTCAAGATTACAGACATGGGTTTTTCTTTTAGCTAACGTGAGGGCCAGGGTGCCGGCCAGTCCGTCCTGAGGAAGTTTAGAGTCCAGCTCCCGGCGAAAGGTCAATGGAAGGGAAGAAAACCACCATGCCCAGCAAGCCCACTCAGCAGGAAGAACTGGGCTGGAAATCAAGTCAACTGGAGAAGTGAAGGTTGGCCGCTTGAGAAGTTCAGGTCACCCAGCCGCTCAGGAGTGCTGGCTAGGAGGTCTCGGTCCGACTGTCCGTGCAAGGCACCAGTGCCGGGGTGCAGGAGGGAGGAGAGGCTCTTCGGGAGGAGACCAAGCTCCCCGTGCCTCCGGGACTCGCCTTCTCTGATGACCAAGAAGAAAATTCAGCGTTGCTGAGCAAGGCCTGATTTCCTGGGCTCACAGAATCAAGGCAGAATCAATTCTGGGTCTTCATGGGATTTTTGCTCACTGAAAACAGAGAAGAGTTTTGTGACGTTGAAGATGTGAGCTATGAGATCAGGAGAACAAATCGATTTCAAGTTCATTCCCAACGAGCTGGCGGAGTCCAGCTAAGCCCTCCCTCCCCTTTTCACCTCTGCAAGATTTCGGAGGCATCTTAACTACCTCTAACCTCGCTGATCCACTCCACCAGTGACCCTCTTTGTACCCTTCAAGCAATCGCCTCCCCACATTCCAGACACTCACGTGGCTGTACTTGGATTCTGGGACTTCAGAACTTTCCAAGAGGGCTGAGCTAATAGGGGAAAGGGAGGGATTAAAGAATTAAGATTGAAAAAATATATATATATGTATATATATTATGCACACCAAATCAAATCTTATATTGCTTCTATATATTTGGACTCATAAATCAATCCGGGATTCAGAAAGAAGAGGCTAAGGAGTGACCAGATCTGGAATTACCTTGCTTTAATAAACAGTTCGTTTTCTGAGTGTTCTAGAGTATTCCCTGTATTCAGAACTAGTTCCCAGGCTGCTGCTACTCCGAACACAATCTCATTTGCTGGCAAGGGAAGCAAGCTGCCATGTTGTGTGATGCTGGATGGAGAAGGCCCTGTGACGAGGATCTGAGGGAGCTATCAGTGACCAAGAGTGCAGAGGATCGAATCTCATCAGAACCCCGAGAGTCCGCTCAAAGCTGGTTCTCCTCCCGAGATTAAGCCTTCAGTAAGGCTTCCCTCGCTAACAGACTGACCACAATGTTCCGAGAGTCTGAGACAGGGCACGCAGCTCAACACCTCTAGAGTATTCTGGTCTCTGCTTTTGGGCCTATCTGGTGGGACTCAGGAGTGCCAGGGAATGATGTGGTGCCAAGAACCAAACCATGTGCTCTAGTCCTCTGATTTCTCTCCCTGGCCCCAGATGATTTACTTTTTCTCTTTGCAATCTGGAGACTGAACCCAAGTCTTGAACATGCAAGGCATGCAATTTACCAGTGAGTCTCATTTGGAGTTGCAGGGTATTTTTCTTTTTGGGTCACACCTGGTGATGCTCGATACTCAGGGGTTACTCCTGGCAGGCTCAGGGGACCATATGGGATCCCAGGGATAGAACCTGGGTCAGTTATGTGAAAGGCAAATGTCCTACCTGCTGTACTATCACTCTGGCTCCCTCCAGGTTATTTTTCACAGGGGTCACACTATACAGTGCTTGGGGCCATCTGGTGCCCACAACTAGACTGTTTCGTTTGGAGCCTACACCTAGCTGTGCTCAGGGCTGACTGAGCACGTGGACTGACCTTATGACTCTGGCTTTGTGCTCAGAGCATACAAGATGCCGGGATCAAAACCTGCTGTACACAGTACTCCCTTTCTCATGCACCATCTAGTTTTTTTTTTCTTGGGGGGGGGGGCGGCTCAGATTTGCATCACACCTGGCAGTACTCAGGGGTTACTCTTGGCTCTGAACTCTGAAACTACTTCTGGCGGTGCTGGGGGACTATATGGGATGCTGGGGATCGAACCCAGGTTGGCCACGTGCAAGGCAAATACCCTGCCTGCCACAGATTATTAAACCACATAAAATCTGAGGTAACAGGGCGGCAGTGCATTCTTTGCATGAGCAAGGCCCAGATACCATCCTGGAAACTGCACAGTCAGGTCCCCTCTCCCAAGGAAAGCTGCTGAGCATTGTAGAGGTGGGCCAAGCACCAAAGAAAACCCAAAACAAACAACCAAAAAATCAGAAGAAATCTGAGGATACTTAGGGCTACAAAACACCTCAAAGGACTAGCATACCTTTGGTTTTTGGGCCACACCCTGTACCCCATGGTGCTTAGCGCCTACTCTTGGCTCTGCACTCAGAAAACACTCCTGGTGGGATTTACGGAACCATACCGGGTTCCAGGGATAGAACTTGAGTCCGTTGTTTGCAAGTCCTGTGCCCTTCCCATGATCTCTCCAACCCCCATGGAGCTAGGTAATTTCAAGCCAACTGCTGAAGGCATTACTTGGCTGCTTCTTAAAGTTTACTGTGCATATGAAAAGAAAAATAAAGAACCATTAAACTAAAAGAAGCCAGGAATTAAGTTTTGAAAATTTTGAATTTCTCCAGGTAGCAAATGATGCTAAAATTAAGAAGTAAGTTCTGAGTCAGGAAAAAATCCAGGCACTACGAGGAAAATGTGGCCTAAGGAAACAGCTAAGGTACAGCCACAGAAAACATAATTCTATATTTTTTTGTTTTGGGGCCATACCCAGCAATGCTCTTGGCTCTGCACCCAGAAATTACTCCTGGTGGTACTCAGGGACCAAATAAGATGCTAGGGATTGAACTCAGGTTGACTGCATGCGAGGGAAGCGTCCTGCCCGCGAAACTACGGCTCCGGCCCCAGAATTTTATAGGTTTTCAACAGAGGCCACACGGCTGTGCGGGGATCCAAAGGGCCACGGCCAGCAGTGCTGAGCGGAGGCATCGGTACCACGACTGTGCCGTGCACACACTCTGCCGCCCTAGCTCTCTCCCTGCCCCTCAGGAGACCCGAAAGCTATGGGTGGTCTTGGGCAGCCACAGCACTGCTGGGTGCAAACACAACCCAGTTCAGGCAGCAAACCCAGACTCAACTGTGTACTGCTGGGATCCCGACCATGACACTAAGCACTGCTGTAGGCCCCCTGTTCCTCGTTCAAAAATCATTCAAATCCATTTCCCAGAAAACCATCATCCCCTGCCTCCCATCAAAAAGTCAAAGGTCACATCTCACAGACCCCCTTAACGGAAGTCTCTAAGAATGACAGCGCTCATCAAGAAGGTTTAGTTACAGGAGTGGACCCCACTGAAATTCGCAGGAAGCCCACAGACCTCTGAAGGTGGACAAGAGGCAGAAACCAGCGATAGAACTAAAAGGCAAGAGAAAATGGAAAAATTTGGAGACCACACTAGACTTCAGAAATTTTCCTGGCAATAAATTCTACAGGCTGAGAAAACGAGAACTCTGCGGATAGACTGCAGTTTTCGTGAAAAATAAAGATTCGAAGGCATGATGAGGAGTTCACAGGGTCCAGCAAGAGCCTGACACCGACCAAACCCTCGCCACCCGCAGGCCCCACCTGCAACTCCTGTGGCAACTTCTCCCCTCGTGTGCAGGGATGTGCCGGGGTGACTGAATGCCTGTCTTGTGCACTGTGCACTGGGAGTGGCAGGAGAAGCCAGGAGCCCCCTCAATACCTGCAGTTCCTTAGGAAAAACACCTCAAAACCTTGTCCACATCCAAACCAAAATGAGTTGAACACATTTGGCGGGGGAGGGTGGGGCGCACACCAGGCATTGCTCAGGGCTTACTCCTGGCTCTGCACTTAAGAATCACTGGTGGCAGGGCTTGTGGGACCATATGGAATGCCAGGAATTGAACCTGGGTCAGCCGTGTGCAAGGCAAGTGCCCTTCCCGCTATACTATTGCTCCAGCCCTAAGATGAATAAACTCCACTTACTTTTGTCAAAATGAGACTCTGGAGCCCTGAGAAAGTAACTTCACTTTGCACAGAGATGACAGAAATCATTGTGGACCAGAAGGGCATAAGTAATTGGGGCTCTGGTAGAACTCCTCTCCATGAGCCAAATGACCAGACTGCAGTGCCAGGGCATCAGCTCTGAGATTAGCTACGAGAAGCCCAAGAGGCTCCTTAGATGAACGTATATTCACTTTTGCACTTGGAGGGAAGCCTGCCGTCCACGTGTAGTCCTAAAAAGAAAAGTCCGTGCAGCAAAATACTGAGAAGGGCCCCTGGCCAATGGCCAGCAAGGAACTGAGGTTCTCAGTTCAGTGACCCATGTGGATCTGAATCCTGTCAATAATCTCCCCGAACTTAAATGTGAAGCCTCTCAGCTGAGCTTGCAAACAAGGCCCTCGTTCTGGCAAGCATCTCATGAAAGATTCTGTGTCAGAGGCCACCAAAGCTATTTCCAAACTGCTGGTTCAGAGAAACCAAGACCGATGTTTTCACTGTTAATTTTAAATAACTGAGTTTGCAGGCTATGTATGAGGGCAAAACACATCAAGTAGCAAAACTCAATCACAAACTTTATAATGGATCCTTTGGAAGGATCATTCGCTGTTTTAACAGCCCAGGAGTATTTGCAGCTTTAAATCCTAAAGATTAAAATTCTGACTTAACCCATCAAGATACGATGGTTGGACATATTCTGATGACCAGGAGAAAAAATCTGAATAGAAAAGTTTCTTCTCCCCCCTGCAAAAAAAAAAAAAAAGCCAATTTCTTCCCAGCCCCCAAGAGGCAAAGAAGTCACCACACCTCACAGAACACTATAGATGATGTGCCCTTAGACGGGGAACCTGCACTATCTAGTGAGGACCAAGACAACAGCGATCCCTGTAAAAACACAATTACAAAGATTCCAGAGAGCCTGAAGAGAGAAGATGAAACGGCCTAAGAGGCCACAGGACCAACCTTGTAGTTAGCATTTGCAAAGTCTCTCCAACTACAGGTGAGAAACAGGGGTCAGGAATAGTCGAGACCTCATTGATTTTCTCCAAAGGTGGAGTCTGAGGTAAGACATCAGGACGACCGAGGTGGACGCCTGGAAAAAAGAAAGGGGAAGAGAATCAATAAACAAGAAAGAGGGGAAAAGTGGGTGAGGGAAATACAGGGGAAAACAGGTAGCAACGTGACCCTTCCTGGACAGGAACGGGGAACAGAGGTCCTTGGTAAGTTAAGGTGCAGAGGGAGGGAGAAGGTTCCAGGCAACATGGGGACCCAGCCCTGGCGCTGACCTGGCTCCACTTCTGCTTTTGTTGTCACTTGTGCCTTGTGCTCCCCAGAGATGGATGGCTGGTAAGCGACGCAGGAGTTGCCGCTGGGGCCTGCTCGCCGAGAGAAAGATGAACCAGACCGAAACTTTTTGGAAGGAGAAGGTTTCACTTCAAAAGGAGAGAGAAAGCCTACTTAGCACCCAGCACAGAACCCGTCACCGAGACACAGACAAATCGCTAGGCCCCCAACACAAACCCAGAGTGGCTGTTCTGCAGCTCAGGAGGAAGAGTGAGCGTGAAAAGGCTGAGCTCCGTGAGCGAACCGCTCCGAGGGCTCCCCTGGGTTCATGCCCACTTGGAAAGGAAAGGAACCTTTTGGTCCGAGAAAGGAGACACACCAACTCCCCGCCGCCTGTGGACAACTCTGGCTTTGCTCCCCCAACGAGATGTCCTTCCCCACAATCCCTCTGCTCTTAACGGTATCTTCCCACTGAACTGGACACAGATGAGCCCCCCACTGTGCACCCTGGCCGCACTCTGTACGTACACAGCACGATACACTGCACTTTCCTCAGTGTCTAATGACCGAGCATCCCGTGTCCAACTACCGAGGGGTGACCGAGCCCTAGAGTGTGGGGCTGGTTGTGCCAGGACCTAGGTGCGGAGAGTACTAGCACCCTGAGACTATATGCCAAGGACAAACAGCAAACGCTTCTTAACTGCTTGGTCAGTCTCAAAGCTCACCTTGGCACTAGGGACACGGAAAGAAAATACAAAACTGGAATAATCACGGGCATCTGCCCCTAACTCTGGGGCCTCTCTCTCCTGTACTTTCCTTCGTGGGAACTGTGCCAATTTCCACCGTCCACAGGGAGAGCTCAGGAGAAAGCACCGGCTTGCAAACGCAAGGACGAGTGTTGCTGGCAGGGTGGGGGCACAGCAGCACCCATTTCTTGGAGGAGGGTATTGGGGTTCCCCTGGTGGCAGCTACTTACAGGGGATCTTCTTGAACACCGTGCCACACATGAACCGCTGGAACCGCTCCGCATAGAAGCCCGGCCGGTGCACAGACACTGTGTCCTGCAGGCAAAGACAGTGCTGCCAGGTTAGAGACCCGGGAGGCTGACAGCGGGGAGGACCCCTGGCAGGAGGCACAACCCACAAGCGGTCAAAGAACTCGAGGGCACGGGTCAGAGCGAGGGAAGCAGAAACAAGGCGGCGGCTACTCACCCCGTCGTGCACCAGAGCTTTCCACGAGTGCTCCAGCTTCTTAACAAACCTGCAGGGAAAAAGCAGCCACACAGTCAGGGCACTGGCTCGCTGGCTCGGGGCACATCCGGCAATGTCCAAGGCTCACTCCTGGCTCTGCACACAGGGAGCACGACTGCCCGGGCTCAGTGGACCACGTGGGGTGCTGGGGATCCAACCCCGGTCTTGAGAGGAAAGGCAGATGTCCTACCTGGCCCCCATATCCATCAAGTTTTAAACGGAAGAATAACTTTACCGTCTTGCTTAGGGAAAACAGTGCAGCACCAGGGATAACGTTTTTGAAACGGAAGAGCAAGGCTGGGGGAGGCACTGCTGGGTGTGGCGCCCAGGCGAAAAAAGACCGAAGCAGGACAAACGCTCCGTGGCTGTCTTCCAAACGGAAACAAACTGGCGGAACCCATTCTTTTAATTTTGACAGTACAAGGACTTACGTTACTGTTTAAAAATGCAAAAATCAACAGATTACCAGCAGCTACAAGAACACAGCTTTGCTAAAAAATAGGTTGCTACTGGGCCAGGCGGAGGGCTCAAACGGATAGTGCCTAGCACGTATATCGGCAGGGAAGAGGTCCATGTTCCATTCTGGGCATCACACACACACACACACACACACACACACACACACACACACACACACACACTCAAACGGATAGTGCCTAGCACACATAATGGCAGGGAAGAGGTCCATGTTCAATTCTGGGCATCACACACACACTCAAACGGATAGTGCCTAGCACATATATTGGCAGGGAAAAGGTCCACGTTCAATTCTGGGCATCACACACACACACACACACACACACACACACACACACACACACTCTCAAACGGATAGTGCCTAGCACATATATTGGCAGGGAAAAGGTCCACGTTCAATTCTGGGCATCACACACACACACATACACATACACACACACACACACACACACACACACACACACTCAAACGGATAGTGCCAAGCACATATATTGGCAGGGAAAAGGTCCACGTTCAATTCTGGGCATCACACACACACATACACACAAAAAAAAAAGCTTAAAAAAAAAAACCCAAAAAACCAAACAAAACAAAAAAAGCAATTCTGGGCATCACATCTGAGTCACCTGGACTGCTAGAATAACACCCAAGCTGAGCCAGCAACGCCAAGTGTAGCTCCAGAAGAAAAACAAAAACATTTCTGTTAAAAGCCAACCTGAGGGGCCGGAGCGATAGTACAGCGGGGAGGATGTTTGCCTCGCACGCGGGTGACCCAGGTTTGATCCCCAGCATCCCATTTGGTCTCCCAGGCATCGCCAGGAGCAATTCTTAAGTGCGGGGCCAGGAGTAACCTCTGAGCATCACTGGGTGTGACCCAAAAAGAAAAACCAAAAAGGTCAACTTGATGCGGATGTATCAGGGCAGGGGACAAAATGTCAAAATGGCAATGCTCCAGAACCCAAACTTCACTGCAGAAAACGCACTCACATAAAAATGTGAATTTTTACTGGCTGCGCGCACCCCACCCAGGAGCTGTCTGCAAGACAGTCTGCAGGGTGGAATTTCTTTTCTGATAATATATGGGACGCTCTTTCTCCTCATATTCCTAGATAAAGCACTTCACATCACAAAAGGGGAGAAGGACCGAGAAAGTACAGCAGGGTAGGGTGCTTTCCTTGCACGTGTCCAACCTGGGTATGATCCCCAGCACCCCATCTGGTCCCCCAAGTCAGCCAGAAGTGATCCCTGAGTGCTGAGCCAGGAGTCAGTCCTTTATTTTTTTTAAAATAAAGAGAAATGGGGGCTGGAGAGATAGCACAGCGGGTAGGGCGTTTGCTTTGCATGCAGCCAACATGGCTGACACAGGTTCGATTCCCAGCATCCCATATGGTCCCCCGAGCACCGCCAGGAGTAATTCCTGAGTGCAGAGCCAGGAGTAACCCCTGAGCATAGCCTGGTGTGACCCAAAAAGCAAAAAAAAAAGAAAAAAAAAAGAAAAAAGGGAGAGAGAAACAAAGAAAGAAATGACAGAATGACAGTGCTTATATGGCACAGAGAGCAAAGTTCCTTCTTGAAAGTCAATTAATTATTCCCCCATGAGGGTAATACGCTCCTGGTAAGTCAGGGACAAGAATTTTTTTCTCTTCATTTTTTTCTCTTTTTCGGTCACACCCGGCGTTGCACAGGGGTTACTCCTGGCTCATGCACTCAGGAATTACTCTTGGCGGTGCTCGTGGGACCGTATTGGATGCTGGGAATCGAACCCGGGTCGGCCACGTGCAAAGTAAACATCCTACCTGCTGTGCTATCGCTCCAGCCCCAGGGACAAGAATATTTGTAGCACTGTAATCCCACTGTTCATTGATTTGCTCGAGCAGGCACCAGTAACATCTCCATTGTGAGACTTGTTACTGTTTTTGGCATACTGAATACGCCATGGGGAGCTTGCCAGGCTCTGCCGAAGAATATTTGTTTAAAAAAAAATAAAGAAAAGAAAAGAAAAGAAGAGGAGGAGAGAGAGAGAGATGGTGAAGCCTGGAGTTAAAATTGTGTAACTGGTGGCTGGAGCAATTGGAGTGAGCAGCATATTTGTCTTGCACAAAGCCAATCAGGTTTGATCCCCGGCATCACACATGGTCCCTGAACACCAGGTCTGACCTGAGATTAGCGTCAGGAGTAAGTTCTGACCATCACTGAGCTCACTGTTCCCCCTCCACGGAGAAGGGGGCTGCACATGACGAGCTGTGACCCAGCGAGGGCTGTACATGGGCTCTCCATGCCTGGATAGATGGAGCTCCTGAGGGCTGACTGAGCTTTCCCTGAGCCCGTGATTTTGGGGAGGTGCCAAGAGACAAGCAGAACCAAGGAGATAAATCAGCACTGAAAACCCAAGGAGCTCAGCAGTCAGGGCGTGACCCATTTTTCTTTTTCAGGAAAAGTCTAGAAGCAAACTCATCTGTGGGAGACACAGGAGGCAAAACCGCACACATCCACCCCCGATCTGGAATGCCAGGCCACTCACCTGTACGACTGCAGGATGTCAATGATGCCGATGTAAAGGAGAAGCCTTTCCCCTTTACTGTTCCGGGCCGGAATGCCGCCCATGCTGGAAGACAAGGTCAAGCAGCTTTCACGGGGAAGCAGACCTCAAGGCCAGGCAGGGGGGGCAACGGGACAGCACAGTCCACACTCGGCACCAGGAAGAGCCTACCACTGACCCCAAGAACCACCCTGGAGTGTGTCTTCAAACCTTTGAGCAACAGTACAGCAGGCAGGATGCTTGCCTTGCATGTGGCTGACCAGGGTTTGAACCCTAGCACCCCGTATGTACGGTTCCCTGAACGCAACCAGGAGTGATCTCTGAATACAGAGGCAGAGGAAAGAACCTCTTCGCACGATGGGTGAGGCCACTCTCCTCCACCCCCACCCGAAGCCCCCTGTCCTCTCCCACCCCAACTCCCTAAGAGACTCTACAACCACCCGACACAGCAGTTTTGGAAATGCTCCCCCAAATAACTCTGAAATTTCCTCAGTCATTCCATACTTCAGCATGTCTGAGCCCACAAGATATTCTTTAGAGTCATGTTGAAAGTTAAATAAAATCAAAGACACTTACGAAACTCCAGCAATTTTAGCTTAAAACTGAACCACCTAAAATGCACTTATGGTACTTTAGGAATCATACATACTGTAAATTCAGAAAGGTAAAGATCTCCTGGGCTCGCTTAGTGAAATAGCACAATGCTAGGACACTTGCCTTGCACAGGGCTGACCCAGGTTCAAGCCCTGGCACCGCATATGCCGCCTACGCCCCATCAGGGATGACTCCTGAGCACAGAGCTGGGAATAAGCACTGAGTACCACTGGCTGTGATCCCCCAAAACGAGATTCTCCTGAGCCTAGAACTGTGGCTGAGTGAGTTGAGGCTGTGAGTTTGACCCCAGCAATATCACACCTGTGAATGTGATCCTCACAGCTACCGTCTTTGAGTGCTGGCACAGTGCAACCATCTGTGTGTGAGACTCACAACCCAGATGTGAGACCACTGTGTGACCACCCAGCTAAGCCCTGCTCAGGGAGAAAAAAACTGTAATATACATGTATGTAACTCGAAAAAAGAGCCACAAAGGGCAGAGAGTTTGTTTTGCATATGATGGGCCATTTGATTCCTGGCAAAGCATTTGGTAGCTCAAGGGTGATCCCTGAGCAGCCAGTCAGGAGAAAGGCCTCAGTACCACTGGGTGTGGCCAAAACAAAAACCCAAAACTAGGATTGACAGAGGGCCATACAGTAACCTGAGCGTACGTATTACTGCCATGTCTCTGACCGGGCTATGGAGACTGCCGAGGAAGAACAGTCCCATGCATGAATCACAGAATCGCTCTGACCCCTTCTATCGACAGAAAGTATTTTTTAATAATTTGTCTTTTTTTACGGGGGGGGGGGGGGGGGGGGCAGAAGATTCTATGGCATGCCCGTGGTGTGGCACTTTTCCAAATGCTTCATAAGGCTCCAGAATAACAACATCCATCATCAGACCACACCTCATGGTACAGGGGATACTCCTGGTGCAATGCTTGGGGCTGCCACCTACGGTACTCGGAGGACCATGTGGTGCCAGGATTTGGATCTGGGGCTCCTAAGAGTCCAGGCTACTCCCTGCCCAAGCCTGCCCCCCACCTCTCCCCAGCTTGTGGGCCCACTCACTGGTCGTCCGTGTCCATGGTGCCCCCACGCCGAGCCTCGCCCTGGATCGACTCCATGGCTGTGGAATACAGCGCTTTCTGTGGGGCTGGCCTTCGGGTGTCGAGTGGGTGCTGTGCTTCACTGCCTACGGGCTCTCGCTGTGCGTGGTCGACGTTATGGATCGACATCAACAGGCTATAATCCATGATCTTGAAGCTCTGCAACACCTAGAGAAAGGGGGAACAGAGTAAGCCTTGCCACAAGCCCTCACAGCCTTCCCCAGGACAATGTGTACGGGTTGCTCCCCCTCACTGAGCCACACCTTCAGATCCTGACCATGAACCTGCAGGACTAACCAACAGAACCATGATCCATTTCTCCTGGTGCTCTTGAAACAGATCAACCCCTCTGATCGCTCACTAACTTTGGCTGATCTGAATCAATACACACTGAGCATAGGCCCTGCGTTAGCCCAAGGCTCCTTTCTGTTTTTGTTTTCGTTTGGGGCCATACCTGGCTGTGCTTGGAGGACCAGATGTGGGGTTGGAGTCAAACTCGAGTCAGCCACATACAAGGAAAGTGTCTTAATCCCTGTACTATTTCTCTGGTGAGACATTTTTACACACCCTGGGTATATAGCAAACATCGATAATAAATCACAAATTTATTTAAGGCTGCACCTGGTGATTACTCCTGGCTTGGTGCTCCATGGCCCACATGATGCCAGGGATCAAATCCAGGCCTCCTGCACAGTGCACTGACATCTCAAGCCCTCAAAATTTATTTTGAAGCAATTTTTTGGCAAATCCCACAGATAAGTGATCTACAGTTGAAGAAGCAAAACTAGGGCCTAGGGCTGGAGAGAGACAGAGAAAGCACAGTGGGTAGGGAGTCTAGCTTCGCACACTACAGACCTGGTTCATCTCTAGCACAGCATATGGTCTCCCAAGTCCCGCCAGGAGTGATCCCCGAGCTCTGCTGGCTGTGTTCCAAAAGCAAAGCAAAGAAGCTCGGGCCTGACCCATAGGACCCTCCAGTTTCTTTTCCCCTTATCTCACTTCCTGATAAGAATCTTATATTCTCAAGGGGACAAGGAATTACTACATGGAAAGAAGGTCTGGGTCAAAGAGATGTATGTAGCTAAGGTGCTTGCTATGTGTGTAGCCCACCCAGTTTGATCCCTGGCATTCCCAGATGATGCCCAGGGCACCATCAGGAGTGATCCCTGAGTAGAGAGCCAGGAATAAGCCCTGCACATAGTCAGGTGTGGTCCAAAAGCAAACAAGAAAGGGAATTTCATGAAGAAAGTAAACGTAGAAGCGAGAGAAATAACTAGCTGAGCGCAGGTTTTGCAAGAGGAAAGCCCAGGTTCAATCTCTAGTTACTCATGTTCCCAGGAGCACCACCAGGAGTGACCCCAAGAAAGTGGGGAACAGACCCTCAACACTGCTGGGTTTAATTCAAAAACAAAAAATACAAATGTGTGTGCGAGAAAGTTCTGCTGAAGGAGAAAGCAGAGCGATAAGGGGCCAACCGACTGCAGGCTTGCACCCTGTGGCCAACCTGGATTTGATCCCCAACACCTCATATGGTCCCAAGCACCACCAGGAATAATGCCCAAGATCTCAGCATTAATGCCAGGAAGCACGACCATGGGTGAGCATTGCAGCGAGTCCCAATGGACACTGTGACCAACAGAACAAAAGGTGTACGACCCATAGGGAGCATGTGCACAGCACCGACTGCAGGCTTGCACCGAGTCTGCAATGCAGTGGCATGGGCTACACATCCCTCTGCACACACAGCCAAGTACATGTGTAACCCTCGCCAGACAACAGGACCGGAAAGGAAAGCGGTGAAGGGAAGACAAATTTGGCTGGACAGGGCCAGAGCAATGGCGCAGCAGTAAGGGTGCTGGCCTTGCACGTGGATGACTTGGCTTCGATCGCCAGCATCCCATATGGTCCTCTGAGCATCCCCAAGAGACAGCCTGCGGGCGGAGACAGAAGTAATCCCTGAGTACCATCAGGTTGCGACCCCCTCTCCCAAAAAACCCAAAACAAAATCCTTGGCTTCAGCAAAGGTCCCCAAGCACAGCCAAAAATAGGCCCTGAGCACTGTTAGGTATGGCCCTAAAGGAAACAAAATTCTGGAGTTGAGGGTCAGAGAAACAGAAGGGCCAAGGTGCTTGCTTTAAATGCTGCTGACCCTGGTGTGATTCCCAGCACTGTATATGGACCCCCGAGCCCTGCCAAGCGTGACCCAAAAACCCAAGTCTTCCCACCCCTATAGGGCTTGTCTGGTTTCGGTTTTGGTTAAGCCATACCCAGCAGTGCTAAAGGTTCACTCCTGGCAAAGGTTGGGGGGAAAAAAAACCTGAGTGGCTGAGAGCAAGACCCCACCCACCCGCTCCAGCACGTCCAATTGGAATTGGAACAGAAATCTGAGGAACGATGATACTGGTATGAAAATAAAGAGCATGTGATTATGTGGCCCACAACACGTAGAAAGAAAATGGAAGTCAGGTGGGTGACGCCGGGTAGGGAAAAAGAAAAACAGTAACGTTTAAGTTTTTTAAAAAATTTCTGGGGGGGGAGACTCCCCCCCAAGTCATCTCAGGGAACCTGGGGACTACTCCTGGCCAACTAGGCTAGATGGTTCAACACTGAGGTCCAACGAAGTGACACTGGTCAGGCCCAGGAAACCACTTGAGTCAGTGGTACTGGGATCATGTGGTTCTGGGGGCCTTGAGCAAGTGCGGCCTGTCCTGGAGGCTGTCTCCCAGGCTCCCGACTTAATTTTCTTCTCACTTCTCTTTCGGGTCCACATCCAGCAGGGCTCATGAGTTCTTCCTGGCCCAGCGCACAGGGGACCATGAGGTGCTGCGACTGATTTCAGGCCTCCTCCACGCATGCAGGATACGCTTTAAGCCCACCGTGCTCCCTTTCATGCCCCCTTTCTCCCTTATTTGCTGCTGAAGAACAAAACTGTGGGGCCTGAACGATAGCACAGTGGGTAGGGCGTTTACCTTGCACGTGGCCGATCTGAGTTCGATCCCCAGCATCCCATATGGCCCCCCAAGCACAGCCAGGAGTAATTCCTGAGTGCAGAGCCAAGAGTAACCCTTGACGATAGCTGGGTATGACCCAAAAAACAAAACAAAAAAACAAACAAAACAAATAAACCCAAACTGTTTGGGTGAGAGAAATCTGGTGTCTCAAGAGATGAACTAGGACAAACTCACCAAGCAGTCACGCTGCAGGGTCTTACACAGAGCATTGTACATGTCGGCATCCAGAAAGAGACCATCTGGGATGTCTTGCAAGAAGTCGAGGTCTTTGAAGGTAGGGAGTGGCTTCTCGCGCTCTTTCTGGGATGCCCGCCGTTTGTACGTTGAGCCCTTGAGATCATACTTCATATGCATCTTGACTGAGCGAGGTAAAAGATTGTTCATGACCACAATTCGAATATTCTTTCCACCCGCCTGCACACAGTACAGTCCATAGAACTTAGGCAGCAAAGTCCGAGGGTTTTGATTGAGGTTCTGAGGGAAAAAAAAAGAAAAGAATTATGCTAGAAACCAAATCAGCTACTTGTTCGGTGAAATTCAAAAGCTACAGTTGTGACACAATGTCTTGTCTAAGGTGGAATTTAGGTATAATATGTACCCACAAGTCCATTATCATTTAAAATTTCCCAATGCAGAATGATTTGAAAGATCATACAAGATAACCACCAGGATGACACACGATGCTACAGGGTCCCCAGTACCCGACCAGTCCAGATACTGGAATCTAGTCTTTCAGAGAAAAGAGAAGACAGAACCAAGAACTGGAGGGGTATTACAGTGGGGAGGGTGCTGCCTTGTGAACAGCCACCTGGAATTCAATTGGGGGTCAAGCTTTCCCATATCTATGTTCCCTGGCACCCCATATGGTCCCCTGAACCCTGCCAGGAATGATCCCTGAGCGCAGAGCCAGGACTAAGTCCCAAGTACCATGAGGTGTGCAATTCCACCTCAAAACAAAAAGAAACCAAACCCCAAGAGATAGCATTGAAAAAGCTTTTCTTCTCATGGTTCTTGGTAACTGTACATGCTGAGAGATACAGTGGGAGGCACAGAGAATTCCATCCTTCACCGAAATCTCCAGACGCAGACAAGGGCCGTAATTCAGCAGCAGAATACCTGCCCTTCCTGTGGAGGTCCTGGATTTGACCCCCAGCACCACAGGACCTCCAAGAGCAGTTAGCTAAGACTGAATAAAGCACCACCAAAAGAAGTAACAAACATCAGTCCCCAATCGAGGAGGGTGGTTAGATTAGAAAATAAAATTATCATTGTATTTTGCCTTCAAGTAGGAAAGTCTACCCAAGTAACAATAATACTAAGGCAAATAAATTTAACTCCTTTTAAGTGGGACAAAAAAAAAGTGCGAAATAAAATCAAGGCCACTTTTTTTTGTAAGAATGGGCTCCAAACTACAATAATTACAGTTAAAAAGGTGTCTGTCGAGACAGGTTAAGAGATGGGAGGGAACCTGGGGACATTGGTGGAAGGATGCGGGCACTGGTGGTGGGATTAGAGTTCAAACACTGAATATCTGAAACTCTACTGTCAACAACTTTGTAAATCACCGAGCCAAGCAAATTTAAAAGGCTAAGAGCTAGCACTCTAGAACCCTAAAGAAAGCCTTCCACACGCCCCTCCGGGGCCAGAGCGACCAGAAAACACAAGAGGATGCCCCCTCCATCTCACCATGTAGTACCCTGGAAGCAGCTTCTGCAGGAACTCGGCCTCTTTGTGCTGGACAGTTTTGATGATGAATTCATCGTCACTGGACACATAGAAGAGGGACCCACTGGCCCCGGAGCTGCACAGTTCAATGAGTGGCTCACTGCACAGGGAGTACTAGAACCAAAGGGAAGAAAGCAAGGTCATCAACACCACCGCCTGCTCAAAGAAGAGTAAACGATACAAACGAAATTCTGCTAAAAGAAAACCAAGAGCAAGACTACGGAAAGAATCTACCCTTGGGAGTATCATTCGATCCCGAAAAGGCTGGGATCAACAAGCTGAAAGCTTACCAAGTAGTCATCAGGCCGAATCCCAAATAACTCCCGAAAGTAGCGGAAGGCAACAGGTGCATAGGTCTTGAACCGGAAGTCGTTGTAGTGATGAGCAGGGGTGAGGTTGCTGCCTTCACTGTGGGTGAGACAGAAGCCGCCGTCACTCACCAGTTTCTGGGCCAAGGGCCAACCTCTAACGGCAGACCACACACAAGGTACTACACAACTCCATGTGAGGGTCAAAAACAAGATTCTACAGCTTCAAGTGCTGGAGAGACAGCTTAGCCTGTGGAGGCCTGGGGCCAAAATTCTGGTAATACATCACCCCCTGAGCACTGCCAGGGGTAACCCCTGAGCAATAAGACTGTACTGAAAGGCTGAAGGAATAGCACAGCGGGTAGGGCACTTGTCTTGGCCCCATCCCCAGCAACCTATATGGTCCCCCAAGCACTGCCTGGAGTCTAGGAGTAATTCCTTAGTGCAGAACCAGGAGTGATGTTTGATCACTGACAGGTATGGCCCAATGCTCCCCTTCCCCCTGCAAAAAAAAAAAAAAAAAAAAAAAAAGGAAAAGAGGGCAGATAGTACTGCCTCCTAGTCCTACTGAACGTGACCCCCAAAACAAAAACTTCTTAAACCTGTGTTCTCTTAGGAACATGTACTTCTGTCTCTCCTCTCACTTCGTTCTCCTTTTAATAAAAACCATCTTGCTTCACCAAGATAAAATAAAATGTCTGATTTGTAAAACCTATATATCTGTATTTGGAACCTTTCTTACACGACACGGCTTCCCTGCGAGTGGAAACAGTTCCGAGTCCCGATCGACAGGACAGGACCCGCCTTCTAGATTCTCCAATCCCATCCCAGCCTGGCTTAACCCAAAGTCTGATCTCAGGTTAAGCTCAGCTGAAGGATTGGACTCAGGCCTAAATTAGCCCTGCACCCCTCAAACTGGCCTTTGGGCTGGTATAAGCAAGCCGCAGTTTTTAGAACATTCTCGAGACAGTAACCACGGTACCTGGGGAAGAAAATACTCTCCACCACGTAGAAGTCTTGCATGAGGACGTCGCGCTCTGGTTTGGTGCTGAGGCTGCCCACTGTGTGAGTGATGCCTAACTGGATGGCACCTTTCAAAGCCGATGAGGTTGTCTGAAAAGAACAATGAGAAACAAGAAAGCCGTAAGTTTCCATCTTGAACACAGCAGTAAAACCTCAGGGAGCAAAGGTCGGAAGGAAGCAAAGCAAGGTTCCAGGAAAGCAATCAGCAGCCCAGTAACTCAGAAGGAGTCGGGATGGCTGAGGTGCCGGTGCTTGGGGCCCACATGGCAGGCAGGCAGGCAGGCAGACAGACGGTGGAGACTGCCTCATAGCAGAGGCAGGGCTGATCGAACGCTCCGCTAGGTCCTCCGTTCCCTCCTATCCTTACCTTCACTTGCACTGCGCTGGCTGAATGAACCATCGTGGGATGGAGAGAAAGGCCCTGAGCGCACCTGACTTGGGCTGGATCCCTGATCCCACCCCCTGAGCCTGCCAGGAGTACTCCATGAGTGCAGAGTCAGAAGTAGATCCCGAGTACTGCCTGGTGTGGCCCAACAATTATTTTTTTTTTAAAGAAAACAATCTAAGATCTCATGCCTTAGAATCCTGTCACCAAAATATTTGTGACCTACTACTTTTTTCACTTGATAAGAGAAAATAACTAGAATAAATGGATATTCTGACTATAGCAGCTTCGTTGTCAAAAGAAATGTCTAGCTGCAACCACAAAAGCAGACCCCCGTTTAATTAAATACTGTGGGGCTGGGGCTGGAGCGATAGCACGGCGGGTAGGGCGTTTGCCCTGCAGGCAGCCAACACGGCCAACCAGGGTTCGATTCCCAGCATCCCATGTGGTCCCCCGAGCACTGCCAGGAGCGATTCCTGAGTGCATGAGCCAGGAGTAACCCCTGAGCATCGCTGGGTGTGACCCAAAAAGAAAAAAAAAAAAAAATACTGTGGGGCTACAGCGAGTTGGTCGTTTGCCTTGCACGTGGCCGACCCGGTTCAATTCCCAGCATCTCATATGGTCCCCACGAGTTAACCTTGGACTGCCAGGAGTAACCTCTGTGCATCACCAGGTATGACCCAAAAAGCAAAAAAAAAAAAAAAAAAAAAAAAAATCAATTAAATACACAGTGGGTAGGGCATTTGCCGTGCACGTGGCCGAACTGAGTTCGATTCCTCCAGCCCTCTTGGAGATCCTGGCAAGCTACTGGCCACCATTTCCTCCTCCAGCTCAGCCGCGCCTCCCACCGCTATTATGGTGGAAAACCTCCTTAGCGCCAACCGTCTGGAAACTGAAGATGGGACGTGTGACCCCGGGTCAGGTTCGGCCTGTATGACAGCAACCCTCGACCTGGTCCTGGCCATTGATACTCTTGCTGCTCCTGCTGGCCGGTCAACCTAAACCCGCCGGGCAAGTCCATCAGCAGCTTGATGGTACCCTCAGGCCTACCTACACCCCAAAGTCGCCCCAAATCACCACTGTGCCTCTGGCCAGACTCCAACAACTCACGACCAAGTTTCCCGAGAAACTAAGCTGCCAAAGTTAAGAGATATGGGAGTCGTGCCCACAGATCACCTCTGCCTCAGTCATTATCGACCTTGCTTCAGAGAGCCATAAATAAATCTTAAGAGCGATCAGAAGCTGCAGTTAACCTTGGACTGCACAAGGCTGTACAAATGGGGCATATTGATTAGAGAGGGGCAAGCTTGCCAATCCCGCCCAAGCAGAGTCCCTGGCGGCCGCCAGGCCCCCGGTCAGACTCCACTGTCTTGGGACAGACCTGAGATATCAATATGCTGAAAATTCAGGTATGCATGTTCTGTGACTGAAATCTCCAGGCTCTCTCGGGGTTGGGATGGGCTATCTCCCCACAGCTCCCTGCACCTCCAGAAGCCCTGACAGCCATGCCCACAACCCAAAGCTGCCACCTAGTTGCAAACTATAATGCACGAAAAGAGAGGGGGAGAAAGCAAGAAGAAAGGTGTTTGCTATGGGGGGAGGGGTGCGAGAGGGAAACTTGTAACATTGCTGGTGGAGGGATGGGTGTTGGGACACTATATAACTGAAACCCATCATGGACAGCTTTGTGATGGTCTATCTCGTGGTGATTCAATTGAAAATATTAAAACTTATTTTTTTTTTAAAGAGTAAAAACAGGGGCTGGAGAGATAGCACAGTGGGTAGGGCGTTTGCCTTGCACGGGGCTGACCAAGGTTCGATTCCCAGCATCCCATATGGTCCCCTGAGCACCGCCAGGAGTAACTCCTGAGTGCAGAGCCAGGAGTAACCCCTGTGCATCACCGGGTGTGACCCAAAAAGGAAAAAAAAAAAAAGAATAAAAACAAAGTTCAATACTGATTTGTTCATTAAGAACATTATCATACCTCCTTTTTTTTTTTTTGAGTCACACCTCGTGATGCTTAGGGCTTTATCTTGACTCTGTGCTCAGGGATAGAACCTGGGTCAGCTCTGCTTAAGGGAAGCGCCCTACCCACTGTACAGTCTCTCCAGCGCCAGAACATCACTGAGAGGTCGGGGAGATGGTTCAAAGGGCTAAATGCATGCCTGATAGGCACAGGGTCTCAGAATTCACCCTGAGCACCAGACAGCCTCAGTACCACCACTGGGTATAGTCCTAGTGACTCCCCTACAAAAAAATCTAGAGACAGGGGGCCGGAGACATAGTACAGCGGGTAGGGCATTTGCTTTGCACACAACTACCCCAGGTTTGATCCCCGGCATCCCTTATGGTCCCCCGAGCATCGCCAAGAGTGTAATTCCTGAGTGCAGAGCAAAGAGTAATCCCTGAGCATCACCAGGTGTGAGCCAAAAAGCAAAAACAAGGAAAATGAGACAAAGAACACTATGATTTAAAAATATATAAGGGGGCTAGGGAAAAAGCTAAAAGGTCAGGGACATGCATGCACAAGGACGCAAGGGCAACCTCTGGCACTGCTGGGCCAAAGTACTGCTACCATGTGTTGGTCATCAAACTCACACTGGCCTTGTATAAGTGGACTATTGTCTCCAGTCTCCATGAAGAAAGTTCTGAAGTTCAATGTATATTATGACTGTTGTGCAAAGGCTCAGGCTGAGAAGAACAGAGACTGTGGAGGTATTTTCGGGGGACGGCGCTATCCTTAGTGGGTGGATATCTACAGTGCATGAAAGTATCACTATCCACAGTGAAAGAAAAGGTCCCACCCTGATTCACCTTCTTATACGTGGTCTCTCCTGAGGAATCAACACTCCGGTGGCCTATTTTCTTGATGGACATGCCAGAGGCATAAGGCACCTACGAAGAGAAAAGATTAGTACAACAAACAGAATGCTGATGGTATACCGAAACAAATCAAACCGAAATACTCAACACCTTTACCCTGTTAGGGTAAAGGGTACTGCTACCATGTGCTGGTGATCAAATTCACATTTTTTCAGTTCTTCAGATGTTTCACCCCAGGCAAATACACCTAATATTATTTTCCAATAAATTAACTAGTAACTAGCTGAAAGAACGCAGAGGAAAACACCAAGGGATACCTATTTCACTCCAGTCTTAACGATGACATAAGATGAAAACGAACAGCACTAGCGAGAAGTAGAGGGCCAGAGACTGAGAACACAGTGCAAGCTGGAGGCACGCTCTTCATGTGAGAGTCTGGGATCTGCTCCCAGTCTCGGATGGGGCAGTGAACACAGCTGGGAGTGGCCCTGGGCACAGAAACGGTGCAAGTCTCCTAGCATGAGAGTCTAGGTTCAACTGTCAATGCCACCAAAAAGGAAGAAAAAAAGTCGAATCAGTGGAAGTAGAAAATAGTTACCTCAGGGTCAAAAGGCTCAATCTTTCTTTGAAAGAGCAAGAAAGGTTAGGAGAGTTCCACAGACCCTTTATTTTTTCACTAGCATCTTTCTCGAATTTTCTACCTCTTTATGGGGCCCAAGAGAATACAGTGGTCTTGCTTTGCACATGGCACATGTTGGACCCAGTATCCCATAAGACCCCCTGAGCACTGCCAGGAGTGATCCCTGAGCACAGCTGGGTATGGCCTGGCCTGAATTTTTTTTTTTTTTTTGCTTTTTGGGTTACACCCGGCGATGCACAGGAGCTACTCTTGGTTCATGCACTCAGGGTGCCATACGGGATGCTGGGAATCGAACCTAGGTCGGCTGAGTGCAAGGCAAACGCCCTACCCGCTGCGCTCTATTGCTCCAGCCCCTGAATTTTTTTTAAATTAAATAATTAGTTGCAAAAGCACCTAACTGCAGGGTTAGGAATGAAGGGAATCAGGTGCAACTAAGACAACTTCTCAGTTATGAGCATCAAGAACTTGACCTGACATTCAAGTTAAACGTCTTGCCAAGGCTCCAGGTTCCCAAAAACCCTCTATCTCTACAGACCGTGGAAGATGTTTTGAAAGAAAAGACAGAAGTCCCAGGCCAAAGGATTCATATCCTGGGGTCCTAGTCAAAACTTAAGAGAGAAGTAAGGTCAAGAGCAGAATTGGAGACACCGTATGGGAAAAATGCACAGCTAACAGAAGAAACAGCTGGCATTGGAAAAGAAAGTGGGCTGAAGAGAGTCCAGGGGTTAAGGCTCTGCCCTTGCATGTCACCGAGCCCAAGTCCCTGTGCCCCTTTCAGAGTCCTCACTTTTGTCTCCCAAGCAGTGCCCAGGAGTCACTCCTGAGAATGGAGCCAGGAATAGCCCCTGGGGACCAAGCCTGCCTCCAAAGAGAGATGGGAATTAATAGCTCCTACAAGGTTAAAATAAGATCTTCATATTTACTGATGCTCTGCACTCAGGAGGCGGTGAAATCAAAACCGGAGACAAGAGTGTAGATGGGCACTGGTGTCCTAGGAAGAAGGTGCTGGGTGTCTAGGCTTCAATCCATCTTATTCTCAGGCAAGTTATGAGAACACTAACCCTTTCCGTGAAACAGAGAATATAAACAGCTGTACCTACCACATAAGCAATTTGCTGAATAAAAGTACCAAGAGGATAAGACACAGTACCACGGGTATGGTGCTTGCCATGCACACGAACAACCCAGGTACAATCCCTGGCATCCCATATGATCCCCCAAGCCCCACTTAATCACTTAATCACTTAATCCCCGTTATTCATCGATTTATTCGAGCGGGTGCCAGTAATGTCTCCATTCCTCACGGTTGCGTGCTAGCGTAGCCCAATGGTATCTGTTCATTTTAGGAACATGTAGAGCCTCAAACCGATCATTTAGGGTCTTGACGAAGAAGTCTGACCATCTTATAGGTGGGCGTCCACGTGATCTTTTGATGTCTCGTGGAATCCAATCAGTAATGGCTCTAGTCCAGCGGTTGTCTGTAAACCTCATTACATGTCCAGCCCATCTGATTTTTGATGTCTTGGCAAATGAGACAGCGTCTCTGATTCTTGAGCGTTGACGAAGATCAGAACCCCGGATTCTATCTCTCATTTGAGTGAATCGTGATATTCCAAGCATAGTTCTTTCGATTCCTCTTTGAGAGACCCGAATAGTGTTCTCATCCTGTTTTCGTAGGGTCCAGGTCTCTGAGGCATATGTTAATGCAGGAAGAATAGTGGAATCAAAGAGATGTGCTCGTAGCTGGAGGTTCTTTGTCCTTTTAGTTATTTCTTCAATGCTCTTGAAGGCATTCCAAGCCGCTCTCTTCCTCCTGCGCAACTCAGGTGCCAGGTCATTCATCATGTTGATTTCTCGACCTAAGTATATATAACTGTTGCATTCGGAGATGGTGGTTCCGTTGAGAGCGAATGGAGCGTCAGGAACAAGGCTGTTTCTCATAAACATTGTCTTCGTAAGATTCAGCTGTAGTCCAACCTTTCCACACTCACGGTCAAAGTCCGCAAGCATTTGTGCTGCTTGGCTGATGTTTGGTGTTATTAGAACTATGTCATCAGCAAAGCGGAGGTGGTGTAGTTGCCGACCATCTATCTTCACTCCCATGTTTTCCCATTCTAGTTGTCGCATGATGTTCTCGAGGGTGGCACTGAAGAGTTTTGGTGAAATGGTATCACCCTGCCGAACCCCTCTCTTGATATGGATGATTACTTCTTTGTAGAATGGTGAGATCTTGGTAGTGAATCCGCAATAGAGCTCACGAAGGATCCTGATGTATTGAGTTTGTACGCCCTGATTGGCTAGGGCTTCCATGACCGCTTCCGTCTCAACAGAATCAAAGGCCTTCTTTAAATCAATGAACGTTAGACAGAGCGGCATCTTGAACTCCCGAGATACCTCAATGAGCTTGGTTATTGTGTGGATATGGTCGATGGTACTGAATCCTTTTCGGAATCCAGCTTGTTCACATGGTTGTCCTTCATCTAGTGTTCTGCTAATCCTATTCAGGATGACTCGAGTGAATAGTTTGTAGATGACAGACAATAGGCAGATTGGGCGATAGTTGCCAATGTCGTGGATGTCTCCTTTCTTGTATAGTAGTACAGTCTTGCTGGTTTTCCATTGGGATGGAACCTTGCATTCAGACAGGTAGCGTGTGAAGAGTCGAGCTAATGAGTACTGATGATAAGTTCTTCAGGTGTTCAGGTCTGATCTTGTCTGGGCCAGGTGCTTTTTGTTTCTTTACCGACGAGATGGCATGTTGGATTTCGGAAGGGAGAACATTGGGAACGACATATCCATCATGTGGTATGTGGTATGTGGGCAAGTGGATGTGGCTATTAAAGAGATCTGAGTAGAATTCATGAATAATCTTCTCCATTGCCCTTCTGGAAGATGTGATAGATCCATCATGATGTCGGAGGGCAGTCATCTTGGTTTTGTAGTTGGTGAAGGACAGGCGGGCATTACGAATGTTTTTCCCAGCTTCTGCTGCATCTACCAGTACTGCTGCTCTCCTGTTTTTGAGGTCATCCTTGATGGCTTTTCTGCACTATTTATTTAATAATTTTCCGGATAAGCCTCAGACATAACCCCCAAGCCCCACCAGAAAAATATCCCTGAGCACAGAGCCGAAGCAGGCCCTCAGCACTGCCAGGTAGGGTCAAGCGTCCAATAAAAGTATCCAAAATGACACTTACATGACTTACTCTTTGTACATTAAAAACCGTTTAATATAACTAAGACCCAAAAGAAAATATAAAAATAAAAAAAAAGTAGAGTTGTCTAATTTCTAGCCTAGTAGAGAAAATGCAAAAAAACCACCAGGCTTCAAAGGACCAATGAAGGTCTGGTAAACAAATAACCTTCCATCTTAGAACAAGTTTTAGTAACCACTAGTTATGATACGCACCTCAGAAGATGGCATGGACTTCCTGACTCCAGACGGTGCTATAAATAAAACAAAACATAATACAATCATAATTATGTACACACACAAAATCTCTATCAAGCATACCGGAGGAATTAGGGCTCGGGTCACCAGACTTGAAAAGGAGCTTGTCTCTTGCTCAGTGAGACCAGATTCTTTGAATTGCTCCTGGCTATGCTTGGGGAACCATATGGGATGCCAGGCATCGAACCCGGTCAGCTTCGTTCACAGCTGTGCTCTCTCTCTAGCCCCTTAAACCAACCAGACACGTTTTGCTGTGTGTTGCTCTGTTTTGTTGAGGGCGACGTCCAATGATGCTCAGGGCTCTGCAATCATCAGAAATCACTCCAGGCAGGCTTGGATACATATAGGGGGCTGGGGATCATACCTGGGTCGGCTTCATGCAAGGCAAGTGCCCTACCCACTGTACTATCTCACCAGCCCCCAATCTTACAACCATAATTTATGACTTTTACCTAAACTCTGAAAAGACTTCATTAAGTATACTTAGAAAGTGACAAAACCGGGACCAGAGCCATATTATGGCAAGGCACTTACCCTGACCATGGCTGACCTGGGTTCAATCCCTGGCACCACTTGTGATCTCCCTAAACCTGCCAGGAATGATCCCTGAACAGAGATTCAGGAAAAAGCCCTGAGCACTGTAGCATATGGCCCAAAGCTTCCTCCACTCACCCCAGTCCCCACCCCCACTTTTTTTTGAAAGGACAAAACCATATCCAAAGAAAATCTACTCCGCAAGGTTAAATCAGCTCTCGGAGGTTTGCTCTCCCATTAACCTTGACTCATAACCAAATCAGAGAACATAATCACACAGGGAAACAGAACCTCTCCATCAGAATGAAGAATTTTGGCCCTTTTACCTTCCAGGAATACCACTTCCACCTAAGTTTTTTTTTTTTCTTTTTGTAGAGAGCATGCAGTTTGGCAGTTTGGGTCACACGGGTGGCGCTCTGGGGTTACTACTGACCCTGCACTGGGGAATTACTTCTGGGAGTGCTCAGGGGACCACATGGGATGCTGTGGATCAAATTGGGTCAGCTGTGTGCAAGGCAAACGCCCTACCTGGTGTGCTCCCTCCCATTCTACCTAGTTCTCAAGAATTCAAAGGGAATAGAGACTAGCCCATAATGAAGAAAATTTAAAAAGAGGAATCCCATGAGATGGATCTTCAATAGTATGTGTAGAAAAATACCAGTTCCACTTCACATTAAGGCAAGTGAGGAAGCAAGAGACAAATGAGATTCAGGGCAATAATGTCAACTCGTCATCATGATCAATTAAAATTGATGAAGGGGCAAGAGATGTGTAACTTGCATGAAGGAACCCTGGGTTCAATCCTCAACACCACAGAGGGAAAGCAATCAAGGGAACTAGGACTTCCAGAAGAAAGCTGGGCTCAGGAAATGCTGTGATTACAAAGACTAATTATCAATAAGCAAAGCAGCAAAATTTCTTTCCCCATGAGTCAGGGTAACAGAAAAAGGGGCGAGGGGGAACAGATGGTTTTCATTCCTCTTTTCAACGAAAGAGGCGAGGGAATACCATCCAGCTATTAGGAAAATATGCTGCAGTAAGTGACCCCAAAATTGTCAAAATGGGCAATTTTCACAACTTTCAGCAGAACGTCTTTTACTGTCACTGTCCTCCCATTGTTCATCAATTTTCTCAAGCGGGCCCAGTAACGTCTCCATTCTGAGACTTGTTGAACCGTGTTTGGCGTATCGAATACGTCACGGGGAGCTTGCCAGGCTTTGCCGTGCGGGCGAGATACTCTCGGTAGCTTGCCGGGCTAAAATTTAACTAGGAGATCTCATCTTCAAGCAGGTTGTACTCTGGCTGGGTAAGAAAGACAGCTGAGTGGCTGGAGCATAGCACAGCAGTGATACGTTGCAAGTCGCTGACCCATGTTCGATCCCTGCCATTCCATAAGGTTCCCAGAGCACGAGCACCGCCAGGAAGGATTTCTGAGTGCAGAGCCAGGAGTACCCTGCGCACTGCCTGCTTTGGTCCAAAGACAAACCAAAAAACAGCAAATGCAGGTGATTTATAATATTTGTTCAGAAACCCACATTTAAGCTTCCCAAGAAAGGTATGTCACGAGGATGAAATGGAAACTCAGTGACTGCAGACCCTGACCACCCACCAACAAAAATAACATTCACCCTCTTATTTCTATCGAGTCAACATGCTAAAGAGGTACTTAAAAATAAAATAAGAAAAACAGAAAGGGGGGGTGGGTGCAAACCAGATGAGAATACAGCAGGCCGGGCATTTGCCTTACACATGGTTGGCTTGGGTTCGATCCCCGGCACCACGTATTCCCCCCAAGTAGATTTTACGGACAGTAAAGTGCTAGACAAGCCTGTTGTTATATTCGGGACTTAATGCCAGCGCCCAGGTGGGCCACAACAGAGTTTGATTCCCCAGGGTAGGGAGAGGAGCCCACGTCTGCAGCATGTATTCCTCTTGCATGCGGGAGAGAACAGTCAAGAACAAGCCCTGGGCACCACCAGGTGTGACCCAAAAACAAACATCAGAGAAAATAAACTGAAATGTTTATAGAATATTAGAAAGGTTGTATCATCACTGGTCTAGTTATATTCGTACAGCAATTCTGGGGGGTCAGGGAGTTGGACCACACCCAGGAATGCTCAGGCTTACTTTTTTTTTTTTTTTTTTGCTTTTTGGGTCACACCCGGCGATGCACAGGGGTTACTCCTGGCTCTGCACTCAGGAATTTCTCCTGGCGGTGCTCAGGGGACCATATGGGATGCTGGGAATCGAACCTGGGTCGCCGTGCGCTAGGCAAACGCCCTACCCGCTGGGCTATATATATCTCTCCAGCCCCTCAGGCTTACTCCTTACTCTGCGCTCGGAATTTCCCTAGTGGTGCTCTGGGAACCACACGGGATGCTGGGGATTGACCTAGGTCGGCTGCGTTAAGGCAATGCCCCACCCAGCACACTATTGCTTCAGCCCCTACGGAGCACTTTGAAAAGCTTCGGAATGAATATCTCAAGTGACTGTCAAAGTGCTGCAGGGAAATAGCTCAAAGGGCTGGCGCACATGACTGCACACGCAAGGCCCACAACAGTCGCCAGCACCACAACCCTTCCCCCATCAAAAGGAAGGGAGGAAGAAATGATTTTTTTGGGTTAAGTGAAAAACAGGTGAGAGACAGAGAGGAGAATGAGAGGGAAGCGAGGGAGAGGGAGGGGGGAAGAGAGAGAAAGAGAGAGACAGAGAGAAGAGAGTCTTCCATAGAGGCAGGCAGGGGGTGGGGGGTGGGGGGTGATGGCAGGGAACCCGGGGGCACTGGTGCTGGGAAATGAATACTGGTGAAGGGACGGGTGTTGGAATACTGTATGACTGAAATCTAATCATAAACAGCTTTGTAAGGGTCTGTCTCACAGTGATTCAATAAAAAAGTGAAAAAAGAAATTTATTTGGGAGTTTTGAGGAAGGGGAGGGAGGAAGATAGAGTAATGAGCTCGAGAGAGAATATGCAAGCTTCTCCAAAGGCTGACAGAGCCCCAGTACCCATCCCAGCATTAGACGGCCAAGTATGAAAGGACACATCTCAAGGCAGGAGATACAGGCAAGACATGTGCTGGGGCAGCATACACACCAGGAGCAGCAATTGTTCAGCCACGGATTTAAGAAATGTGGTTGGACTGGTCTGGAGAGATAGTACAGGTAGGTTGTTAGCCCTGGACGCAGCTGACCAGTGAATCCCAGCAGCCCATATGGTCTCACAAGCATCACCAGGAGTAATTCCTGCAGGCAGAGCAAGGAGTAGGCCCCGAGTATGGACACTGGGTATGGGTCCAAAAACAAGAACCATGGCGAAGGTGGAGACCACAGGGTATACTGGACAGTCCGGAGCCCCAGCACTGCCAATCTCCCCTACGATATCACATCCCGCGGCCTTCGCACTGAGCCACAGGCCCTGAGGGCGGAGGATTCCCAGTGGACAGGCCCTGCTCCCAAACACGTTTAGGGACAGAGACTGCTCTGTGGCTGGACTGCACACTTGGCATGGAGGCCCAGGTCTGACCCCAGTACTGCCAGGAGAAGGTCCTGAGCACCACCAAGTATGGCCTAAAACAAACAAGAAAGAAGAACATGTTTTACCGAGTAAGTATAAAACTAGTCTGGATGCCAGAAAAAGTGGGAGATCACTGACACAGGAGCCTCAAGAGAAGAACAACTGTTCTGTGTGTGACATTAATACAGTGATGATGTTACAATGTCCTCCCTCCAAAGTATTCTTCTACTAAAATACAAGTTTGTGGGGCTGGAGTAATAGTACATCCATACTGTTCCCCAAGCCTGCCAGGAGTGAGCCCTGAATGCAGAGCCTGAAGGAAGCACTGGGCACTGGTGGGCGTGGCCAAAATAAAAAACAGGGTTTTTGGGGCTGGAGCAATAGTACAGCGAGTAGGGCGTTTGCCTTGCACACGGTCGACCCAGGTTCGATTTCCAGCACCCCATATGGTCCCCCCGAGTACTGCCAGGAGTAATTCCTGAGTGCATGAGCCAGGAATAACCCCTGTGCATCACCGGGTATGACCCAAAAAGTAAAAAACAAATAAACAAACAAAAAAAACACAGGGTTTTTGGGGAAATACCTGAAGGCAACTAGCACGCAACTAGTGTGCTGTAAACTCCAGGGGATGACAGTTCAACAGGATGAATGATACGCTTTGCATTCAAGAGAACCAAATCTGATTCCCAGCACGACATGGGTGATCAGGCACTGAGTCGGGCAGTTCTGATCACCACCAACTGTGGGCTCCAAAACAAAACAAAAGCTGAGGGCCAAGGATATGACTCAAAGAGCAGCACACATACCTTGCCTGTTCAAGAACATGGATTCAATCCTCAGCAAAGCCAGAGACAGCCCTGGTCTTTGGAGCACCACTAGTTGTGGGTCCCACAATTCACACAACAAAATTCTAGGGGGTAGAGGTAGGAAAATGGAGACCAGATGCAG